CCAGATACGTCATGTGCTGGCCACGCCCACACCCAGTTTAGCGAAAGGGGAAATAGTCAGGATATGTCACGTGATGCCACCGTGACAATGCAAGTTTGACACCCCTGCTATAGAGATTTATAAATCCACTTTGCTTTTTAAAAGACATAGTTTCTGTTAGAATTGGAAATGGAAATATAAATTGCTTTGTTTGAGATTGATCAGACAGACTCATCCATGCATTCCAAAGAGCAAAAATGTATTTGTAAATCATCCAAAGTAAGAGGCAGCTAATTCTCTTCACTGAAGAGATTTGTAGAGCAGATCTGTTGTAAGATAAGGAAAATGCCTCTTATTGTAAAAGAAAATTATCACAAGGGATTACTTAAAGCTTAAAAGCAAGCTAGAGCTTCCAAAGGATAAGTGATTAAAGAGAAAATGGCAGCCTGCAGGCAGCTCACAAAGAAAGCTAAGATGGTTATTTCTGTAAGGGGCTGGTCACCCCTGATCTTTTCAAACTGTCTGCAGATCTCTGCGGATGCAAGAAATACATTCTCAGCATATGATTATGACTTTTTCCAGAATTTTAAGATTTGTGCAGAAACAAGGGCAAGTGGCAGCCAATGAGAGACTTTTCCTGATGGTCCCTCATTGGAAAATGTTCTTGGCAGTCAAGGGAAATTTTGTAATACAGACAATACAATTAAGACTTCTGTTGTCACTGCTATATTGTTGTTGCTGTACTGGTTGTGTATTACTTTGGTCAATTCCTTGAATTTTAAAAGTTGAATGCACATTAAATCATTTAAAACAGAAAAGAAAAAAAGGCTCCATGTCCATAATGATACAATATTTAAAACAGCTTTCTGATAGCAACGAACAATTTCTCAACTAATACATTATTCAGAGTAAATTTGTGCAATAGAATATACTAAGTTTAAATAGCCATCTGTCTCCTCCCAGCCTACTCATTGCCAGTAAATTGTTATTTTTGACCAGGTATACAAGTGTAAGACCTTGCACAAAGAAATACAGATACTGGATTATGCTATTTTTGTCAACCATGTCTAAACCTGACATTGAAAGTCTGATCATTTTTAATAAAAACTTTGATATCATACAGAATTGGACTATATTCTATAGGCAGGTTAATTCTATTTAATTTACTTAAAAATCAAAGATCTACTCTGATTTTGCCTTATGAATCTGCTTATCACAAACATTCATTCTGACTAGTTGGTCAGTGGTGTACCTTACTATTAGTGAGAGAGAATTTTATTTCATCCAACTTATGGACGGACCATCTGCCCTCCCAAATATTCTTCTAGGATCTGATCTCTGCTACAAGGTCTTGAATGCAAACTGTTATATAAAGGTGTACGAAGTTGCTAGGCTTCACTAAAAACAGGTTGGTAGGATCAAATGGTGATATTCCTGATCAGGGTTAATGAAATCCTGGATAAGATACATAACAGTACTAATGTGTTTTTGGGGGCTCATCTTCTAATTTCTCCCTCGAGTTCCTTCTTCCCAGGACTCTGTTCCAGCTCAATGCCAGTCATGCCTTTGTTGCTTAAAAGAGCTTAGATATTTTAGAAGCAAACTGCTTCTTATGTATCTTCATTTGTGATGAAGAAAACGAAGATAAAATGTTGGATTCGATTATGGAATCAACTTTTTAACAGGGGAGATTCAGGAAGCAACCCACCCCCACCTCCCCCTACAGCTTGGATACATATTTTGGGAACAATAGGATCTGAAGCCCAATATATGCAGGGCAGCTCGTTTGGGTTTAATTCCCATTCTAACAGACTGTGTGCCTTGTATCCCATCCATGGAATGTCCTAATGAGAGAGTATAGTTGAATTATTGTGATCCTTTTCTTTTTCTCAGGTAAAATGCATATTTGCTCTAGGCAAATTATTCATGATTAATATTTTGTATTGTGTCCTGTATACATCCTGCCTTGAGGTTTTTTTAATGGAAAAGAATACATAAATACACTATTATGAAAAATACATAAGATAAATTATTGGTGATAGATCTTTTTGAGTAAATCTTTTTTATTAAAAGGATCTGTTTGTATTAAAAGCTCTTTTTTCTTCCAGCTAGTGCTACCTCTCCCAACTCTGTGATTTCTGGAAGTTGAAATTATATTTTGTCAATATCTCCCTTTATTTATCAGTAGGTATTATATTGATGTAGCATGTGCCTCTTGATAAGAATGGTTATTGACAGAAAAGTCAACAGATTTTTAAAATGTTATGTATTAGAGAAAATTATGATTTCGCTCTTTCATTTTCCACCTTTGATTAATACTGAAAATAAAAGTGTAATGGGACGAGCTGCCAGATTTTAAAAACAGGTCAGCAATATGTATTTATTTATTTGATTTGTCAATCGCTTACAAGATAATAGGTATAAGTACTGTATAAACATAGTTATGAATACATGAAATGGACACATATATAAGAAAAATAAAAAGAAACAATAGGACAAGGACGGTAGGCACATTGGTGCGCTTATGCACGCCCCCTATAGACCTCTTAAGAAAGGAGTGAGGTCAATAGTAGACAGTCTAAGGTTAAAGTTTTTGGGGTTTGGGGAAGAAACCAGAGTCAGGTAGAGTATTCTAGACATTGATCACTCTGTTGCTGAAGTCGTATTTCCTGCAATCAAGTTTGGTGCGGTTTACCTTGATTTTTTATCTATTGTTTGCTCTTGTTTTGTTATGGTTGAAGCTGAAGTATTCATTGACAGGTAGGACATTGCAATGTATGATTTTATATACTATACTTAGATCGGACCGAAGGCAGCGTAGTTCTAGATTTTCTAGGTCTAGAATTTCAAGTCTTGTGGCATAAGGTATTCTGCAACGAGTAGAGGAGTGGAGAACTCTTCTTGTGAAATATTTCTGGACTTTCTCAACTGTGTTAATATCAGATGTGTAATGTGGGTTCCAGACTGATGAGCTGTATTCGAGTATTGGTCTAGCAAATATTTTGTATGCTCTAGTTCAGGGGTCTCTAACCTTTTGGACCTCAGGGACCACCAAACTCATAATTTTAGATCCCAGGGACCACTAACCAGTTCTGTGGGTGTGGCCTAATTTGTGGGTGTGGCTTGGTGGTCATGTGACTGGCTGGGCATGGCTTGTATGTAAATATTATAAATATTTATATAAATATTTAATTTTTTTATAAAAAAGAGCAACTTTTACTTTTTTATTGTTATGGGTAATCTTTTTTTTTTTGGTTTTGGGAGTTGTTATTGGTACATATAGTTTGATGACTCTTTTGACTTCAAGAAAAAATATGTCTTCAACAGTATTGCATCCAGTGAATAGAAATTGCCAATCAAGGGATGAGAGATCGTTGTCTATAAGATCATAGTTGCCTTTTTGAAGTTATAATTGGGGATTTCATCATTGTGATGTTATTCGCTTCCTTTTCATTTTTAACAGAAAGTGTTGTATTTTATTGTAATTATTTTAAGAATAACATGGGTATACATTTGTAATAAAGTATGCTCATGACTGTTTTAAATTTAATTTTAAGGCATTAAATAAACTACATTTTAAGAATAAACATGTGACTACATAAATGTTTTTATACATACCTAGTTCTGAGGGTGCTTTGAATAAAATGAACTTCCTGACCCCGGGGAGGGTGGTGGCAGGGGCAGACACAGTATCAACCATCCAGGGGTTCTTGAGAGCAATCATTTTAATTTCCCAGAAGATCCCAAGATCTGGCATACAATCCCAGTCATGTGGCATATTAAACTGGAGGCTCACATGAAGAATCTGCTTGCCGTGGGGGCCTTCAGGCAAATGTCAGCATTGATGAACTTTACTCACACCACTCTTGAACACTAGTAAATAAACAACCAACACAATGTACTTGATTTGAGACTGATGGCCTAGGTGAATTGTGCACAACTCACCCCCCCCCCCACTTTAAATATGTATAACTCACAGAAATTGACAGAGCAATAAGCTACGAGAAGAAGAGCAAACTGATTAGTTCTTTCTCTGCCTAATAGTTGCCGAATGTTTCCTTACATTGGGGTCCCTGATATAAGGATCTGTTCCATCAATTCTTTTGCTAAGATCAATTGTAAAGATGGTCATAGCTATAAACGCTCCGTGATCTACCAAACCAGTAGAAAGCAGTTTATATTCAAACCTTCGTCTACCTCATACCTTTTCTTCTTACTCAGATGTAACTGGAACATGTTAAACCATGATAAAATGAAACTTGGGCATTTTTTAATTCAGCCTGTTATGTGAACTCAATGATTTGTGAAAATTCCAAACTTTTTGTCAAACTGAGTTAGCTTTAATGATGTGTAAACCCCCACACAGAATCATTTCCAGTATGGCAATGTACCCTTTGACAGATTATTTTGCTCTGCTTTTCTGACAGGCTCCATCCTGCGGTAGACATGTAAACTCTTTCTTCATGTTCTCTAAAACAAATTAATATATTTTTCTTTTTGTGAAATGCCAGACATGGTTTGTTTGAGGCATTATGTCTGGAGATGTTATTGTTTTATAGTAATCATTTCATATAAGCTTTCTGTTTAGAAATCATGCTTTGATTTAATCCACATATGAGATTCCAACATATACATGGATATTTTCCAACTTTTCTCAATTGCACATATTTATAGGAATTGAAGGGAATATTATATTTTTTTCTTTACAATTACTATTTCTCAAAAGCCAAAAATAATTTTTAAAAAATCATTCAGTCAGCCTTCTGTAACATATGACTTCATAATTTTGGATCTCTTGTTTTCCTGCTTAACACATAACAGAATGTGTTTCTACCCAGACATACATAATACAGGGAATCCCGGCATTTGGTGACATGACAGAAAAAGCACCCTGCTAATACAATGAAATAGAGAACATTTCTATTAGCAACAGCATATTACATCTGGAAAATCATGGTTTGTAGTGGTCTTTTTCTTTCCATTAACAAATAAAACTGATTTACAATATCGTTGAATGGAATTTCAAATGCACACAAGTATCAGGTGTTACGTTTTTATGTATACCAGCATTCCTCAGTCTGGCAGTCAAAATGGTCTCCAGGAATTTCCAGAGGGACAGTTCTGTAATTTCACTGCAGCAAAATGAAAATGTATTGTGACACTGTAAAATAAAATTTGTTGTGACATAAGCTTTTGTAGAATAGATTTCATCAGCTGCTCCAAATATTTCCTTGAACTATAGAAAGAGCAAATAGCAAGATTAGACAGAATATAAAAAATATGAATCTGATTGATGGGGATTCTATCCTATAATAGCTTATCTCCTAATGTTTTTAAAATACTGATAAGACTTTACTGTTATATTCTGAGCAGTCTTAGCAACTTAACATGTTACCATCCCAAAGTAACCCTGTTCAAAGCTAATCTCTTAAACTGTTTTTATTTTTTAAAAGTAAAATTATGAGGAAGTCCATATATTTTCCCAATTCTGAGATGTAGGGCAGTTAAATTGACAAAGGGCATTGGCTGCTTCTTATGACTACATTGGCTGCAGCAAGCTGTGAGTGAAGATGGAATCCCTCATCTCCCAGTTGTTCAACTCGCGAACAAACTGTAAAAGCTTCCATTTTTGCAGTTAACTCTTGGGAAGCAGCAGTATGTCAGTTGCTTTGCATTTAAAAAAATAAGGAAATCTATAACATATTTGATTCAAGATGATATATTATGTTCTGAATAAAAAAATAAAATAACCTTAACAACTTTAAGAAACTGATAATTCATTTGTTTTGGTCCAAGTCAGCAAAATATGTAAGAAAATACGAATGCGTAAGAAATTCTTACTTAAAGCTGAAAAAGGTAAATTTTTACATTGATGTCAGGACTAAGGTTCATTTGTTCCTATAATAATTTAAACATTTTTTTTTCAGATTTGAAAGAAAGTAATATGAAAAGATGAATTAAGAAGAGTTTTTATGTAAAAGAATTTTGATGGTGCAGTTGTTAAACTAAAGAAAGCAACTGCTTTCTCCAAAAGTAAATCAGCCACTGGCACTTGATGGGAAATTGAGCAGTTGGGTGAGGTCACTGGGCCTAGCCAAAGCCTCTGATGAGTGATTTTGTAAAGTATAAAGAAACCAAAATTCTGTGCAATGGTCAGTTCCATGTCAATGGAGATTCTCAATCATCCAGATCATAGTTGTCCCAAAGGTGCTTTTTTCAAGTGGCAGCTGGACTTTCTTTGTTTTTCATTGAAGATGTTCAAGGTCCTCAAGGAAAAATGAAGGAAGTCCAGTTGCCTCTTGAAAAAAGCACCTTTGGGACAATTGCCAGTTTCTCACCTCCTTAATCAAGGGTTGCCAATTCCATTTGAAATTAGTTTCCTCCCCAATAGTATTTACATGTGTCTGTATATATGTGTACTTTTCACAATCCACTCTTCATTAAAAAAGCAGAGGAAAAAAGTGTTGAATTAATTACTGATTAGAATTAACCACTTATAAAAAGGATTCAGGTTTGTGTTCCTGCTGTATAAATTAATATTTTTTTCTCTTACACACCAAATACTGCTGCAAAAACACACAAACCTCCTCCTAGCAGCAGCAGGAAAGAAGAAAATTAGGTGGAGGTGGGATGAGCACTGCTCCCCCCTCCCTTTCTGTTGGCAACTCTAAAAGACCATAGAAATATTTTATGGGTTGACAGGGAAACCATTGGGAGGGAAAGAAAAATGGGAGATCCTTGCTGAGAGGAAATAAGCAGAGAAGAAAGTAACTGGACAGGGGAAAAAAGAAACTATTAGGATATTACAAAAAGAATTAAATTTGCCAAGCAACCTGTTCTTCCAAGCAAGAATTAATTACAGGCAATCCTCACTTATCAACCACAATTGGGCCTGGAATTTGGGTTGTAAACCATTGTTACACGGGCCACCACATGACCTGACTAAGTTTTGCTGCTATTATTGCAATGGTTGTAAAGCAAGTCACTACAGTTGTTAAGTGAATCATGTGGTTGTTAAGCAAATCCATTCTCCCAAATGGGGTATTTTGTCAGAAATAGGGGAAAAATTGCCAGAAACTGGCAAAAAAGTCACATATCATGGTCATATGACCATGGGACACTACAACCTATTGTAAATGCAAACTGGTTGCCAGGTGCTCATACAGGGATGTGTGTGCAGCAGTCATAACTTCAACGATGATCATAAGTAACTTTGTAAGTCTGTCATAATTTTGAACAGTTATTAAAATGATTGGTCATTAAGTGAAGACTATCTGCTGCTCTGAGGATCAAGGCATCTATAATTTCCAGAAAAAATATTTGCTATCATCTCTTCTTGCCAATTTCTTTGGTTTTAACAATTTCTATTCCCATCAGGAGAATCCACATTGGGATAATCTCCAAGTGACATTCTTGCTTTCCCCTAACAATGTCTTCTTCCAGAAACAAAAGCAAAAAACAAAAAAAAACAAAATAGCAATTCCAGTCCAAATGTAACCCGAGGACTACCCATAGTAGCTAAAGTATCAGACCAAAACAAGAGAAGTTGAATTTCAATGTCCTGCTTTCTCAGAAAGCTTTCTGGGTAATGTGAAGTCAATTATGATCTCTTCAGTGTAATCTTCCCATAAGATTGTTATAAGTATAAATGGAAGAATCATGATTGCTATGTTGAATTTTTTGGAGGTATAGATACATAAAGCAGATAAGGTAACTAACAAATTGGCAAACTACAGCGCCACTCTTAGTTGTCAGAGGAGAGCTCTTGAAATCATTAACATGGATAAAATAAACTTACATTATTCAGCAAGGATGAACTATGAAGTCCCATGGCTTGGAAAGTTACCCGATGTACTTTTGGCTTGCCTCATGGCTAATTCAGCATGAATGCTCCGAGAACTACACAATCCCAGGGATGTATTCTTTGGTTTCCTACCTGAAAATTAAACTGCAAAATTGGTATTCTCCAAATTTTGGTATTTTTTATTAAAGGTGAAAAAGAGAAACGTGAATTAAACTGAAAAAAAAAACTAAAGTGAATTATAAACAGCTTACTCAGAGAGAAGACAGCTACAGATCTGCATAATTATTTTCCCACCTTTATTCTCTAACCAGAACAGTCCTTTTCTTAGGACAGCTATAATTTGGATGACCACTAGTGGCAGAAAAGAACTTAGGTATCTTTGTTGCCATTTCATAATCATCCACCTTTGTAGAACTTGATATGGCAGTTCCAATTGCCACGTTTAGGCTTTTTGGGAGGCCTTTGAATCAATGTTGACTCCTAGTGACTGCCTGGATTAGTCCCTGTAGTTTTCTTAGCAAGATTTCAGAAGTGGTTTAGCACATCCTGCTTCCTAAGGCTAAGAGAGTGACTAGGCCAAGGTATCCGGCTGGCTTTGTGTCCAAGACAGGACTAGAACTGACAATTCCCTAGTGGTTAAGGCACCTAACCTGGTTGGTGCCTTAACCACTATACCCAACTGACTCTGTCCATTCCATTGGTCATCTGCTCAGAGATGGAATTTATACTTTTAAAGCTGTGTTATCATAAAATAATATTAATTCAACATATTTTTGGTTTATCTAATTTTATTTTGAAAGCTGCTGGACTACAAAATGATCCTGGGCAGCCTTTAGAATTAAAGGAGGACAAAAACCCCAGTAAGAACAAAAAACACATAATGTGTTAAGGGAAAGTAATTATTACTATGTCTAAATGTTCTAAAATGTGACATTTCGAGGCAGGCAAGCAACTGAATTAAGATCAGGGTCAACAGAGGACTGGAGGAATGTGCGCTCTCCTTACCCACAGAAGACTCACATGTACAAGACTGTAATGTACAAAACTGTCCTTGCAACTATAGCCCTTGGACAGGTGGACTTACATATTCTTAAATCTTCTGCCCGATCTATGAAATTAGGGTAATTAAGCTATGAAATTAGGGTAATTAAGTTCCCATTCCAGTTGCTATCTTATGTCAGGCAGCTCCTACTTCAATCCTCAACCAATCAAATTTACCATCTCATGATTCCATTGCACAGTCCAAAGCTACCTAAAACCACCGCAGTGAATTGCCCAAATCCATGAGAAATCATTGACAGGAGCCAACATTTTTGACACCCAGAATAAAATGAAGTGTTACAGTCCACTTAATACTTACTTTTGTTTGCCTCGCTTCCATTTACTTCATCAATAGTATAGGGAAAACCAAACTCAGTCACATATGCATGGCTGATTGCTCCCGAAAGACTCATATTGGCAATCTTCAAGGGACATGCTTTGGGGAAAGAAGATAAGAGCCCAGGAAATCCACACTCTATTGGAGAATTGGCAGATGGAAGAACCTACATGAGGAAATAAGAAGCAATAAAGTATAACATAGTCTTGAAACATGCTATAAAAATAATTAAAATGCTGTAGGCCCAAGCTTGAACATTCTGCTTTACAAGAAAAAGGGACCCCAATAATGGAAAAATATTGGAATAGATGTTGGGGAATACAAGGCAGGAAATCCAAGGGATCTGATTTGCTGGATAGTTGGGGGAGGTAGGCAGTTTTTTTGTCAGTGTATCGGGTTAGTTTGATTGTTATACAAAGTGGCCCTTTCAAGAGGGCAGCAGAGCTGGGGAAGCCCACTGTTAAAAGAGATGGAATATTCAACTGATAAATAATGGAGTCTTGGGGTTTCTGTAGGTTGCAATTCCCTTGTAAGGGTTGCCCTTGAACTGTACTGTAAGCTGATAGGGAGGCTTATATTCTTTGGTTTAGATAGGATTGCAGGAGACTTTCGGGGAGAGAATATGATGTAGTCTCCATTTTGTTTATTAGGTTTATTTTCTCCACTCCACTTAACTGAGAGTCAGTTTGATCTAGTCCAGGAGTGTCAAACTAACATCATCACAGCAGCGTCATGTAACATATCGGGACTTTTCCCCCTTCGCTAAACTGGGCGTGGGTGTGGTCAGCGCATGATGCATCCGGCCCATGGGCCAGGAGTTTGGCAGCCCTGGTCTAGTCATTAAAGCATCAAGCTAGCAACTGGGAAATTGTGAGTTCTAGTACCACCTTAGACATGAAGCCAGATAAGTGGTATTGGGCTAGTCATTCTCTCAGGAGGCAGCAGTGGTAAAGCACTTCTGAAATCTTGCTAAGAAAACTGCAAGGACTTGTCCAGGCAGTCACCAGGAATCCAAAAACCTATCTAGCTGAAATCTAATATATTTAATTTGTATTTTGTCAGTGATTTCCCAAACAATGAATCTGCTGGTAACCTTTCTAACTGTGTCTATCTGCAGCGCAATACAATGACAACCGTAATATAATATCTCGGCTACTCGAGGGTATATCCTCACTTTGTTTTGTGCCAAAATGGTTTATTATGATGGATGGTTAAGTGTGATAGATAATAGATGATGGATGGATGGATGATAGATAGATAGATAGATAGATAGATAGATAGATAGATAGATAGATAGATAGATAGATAGATAGATTGCAAATATTAATCATCTTGTCAAGGACTTCTTTCATAGTGAAGTCCAAGAATACAACTCTAATGATTGCTATTTCTCAACCAAAGCTATTTTTTTTTTTTCAGGATTAGATGCAGAGGAGCCTTCTTAGTGATGGTCTCTATTCTGTAAAGTTATCTAGTAAACTCCTATGGATATTCTTTTGCAACCTTTTTTTTAAAGTACACTGCATTTGTTCCAATAAGCTTTTAAGTATTATTAAACCAGAAGTTATTGTTTTATGTGCCACTGTATATTTCTGACTATTTGAGTGTTTTTTCACATTCTGAAAAAAAACTTAACAATGATTTCATATATCTTCAAGCAGCTGATATTCCTTTAAAATTGACTTTTAATCCACAACAGTGAAAATAAATTCTTATTATTTTTAACAAATTTTCAAAAATTTGATCAGGCTCCCAGGTTCTATATTTTTGGATTAATTTAACATTTCCTCTTTCTGTTAGAATTTCACTTCAAGATCTGAGGACTACAAGTTTGTCTCAGTGCTTATTGTAAAAAAAATGCACTTCCCAATTTTCTGATATTCTGCCCTTAAGTCACAATGCAAATTTGTCCTCTTTCCGACAAATTCCCATACTTTTATTTCTTCTGAGGTGGAGCATATGATTTTTATAATTAACTAGATCAGTTTAAAAGCGAACTCCACAACAGGTTGTTAGACAACTTGAAAAAAAAAATCTATTCAAAAATGGACGAACTCCCTCTATTTTACCTCAGTTACCTTCCAATCCAGGAACCAATTCCTAATTTATTTAATACTGTGAATTTCCTGGGATTTGCCTTTGGCAGTAGTCCCACGCAAGCAGATGGAAGCCCTATTTAGATAGTATTTCTGCTGTGGAGACAGACTTATAAAGAAAAACAGGAAACTTGACTTTTAAGCCATCTAATTCAGCCTTGGTTAATCTGACTGGCATTAGCTCTTTTGATATTTCAGGCAAATGATGACTTTTCCAGCCTACCTGGAGATGGTTGGGACAGAACCTGGAATCTTCTGCATTGAAAACATCCAGTTTATCACTGAGTTGCGGCACTTTCCTTATAAACAATAGCAAGCACTAACAGCTTAATTCTGTGTTCTGACCCCAGTAGGTTTGGACAGTATTTCTTCTTCAGATGACAGCAATTTCTCTTCAGTTTCAGCCCACTGCTTCATGCTCTATCTTGAACAACTGGATAAGAGAATTTCCCCCTTCTCTTACTGAAACTCTTTAAAATATTTTTTTTAATCTGAAAATTCTATTAGAAGCACCTATATCTCATAAAAAGCTGGATAAGAAAACTGATAAAATGAATGAAAAAGGCCACAGCAGCATGCAAGAACAATTTTGGTTCAAGATAGGGGTCTGAGGAACCTCCTGGGACTCAAACGGAAGATATCCTTGTGATACCAGCCTGTATGTGGGAGCAGTCTGAAAATGGCAAGTGATGCCCTTTGAAATAATACTCCCCGTTTTGCCACTCTAGCCTTACTCTTACAAGAAGTAGAATTTCCATTTTACAAAAGCAACCCACAATCATAACTTGGATACTTATATATTATTTGCTAGAGACAGAACAAACCACTTGAGATTAGCTAGCCATAAGAGAGAGTGAAATTGATTGGGGAATTATTAAATAAATGTAATGTTCTTTTATGTTTTTTCTTCTTCTTAGTGTTTTTCCCACAAATGCATGGTTTGCCTGTTTTATTGTCATAAGAATTGATTACTGGTTATCAGAGCCTGATATAAGAGAGAGTGACTAGCCCTAAGTCACCTAGCTGACCTTTATGCCTAAGGCAAGACTAGAACTTATACTCTTCTGGTTTCTAGACTGGTGCCTTAACTACTAGACCAGGGCCGTCAAACTCCTGGCCCGCAGGCCGGATGCATCATGCTCTGGCCACCCCTTGCCCAGTTTAGCAAAGGGGGAAAAAGTCCCAATATGTCACATGATGCCACCGTGATGAAGTGAGTTTGACACCCCTGCACTACACCAAACTAACTCATTCTTTTTAATTATTTATTAAAATATTTTAAGTACCTGGCCCACCAAATAAAATTGATTTAAGGGGCTAATTTAGTTGCTTTTCTTCATGTAAAATTTCATTTGATATTTTGTGCCAAAACCAAATTATTTTAAAGGAAAGAACAAGATTTTTCTTCTTAATTTTCCACAAGCACTTAAGGAAACTTGAGTGTCATAAAGAACACTGAGAAATATGTTCTACTGTGGCAGCCTACTGAGAAAATACCTCAGTTCTATTATAGCTAAGTAGATGATTTTCATTCAAACTTTTTGAAAAACAGAATATCTAATAAGTGGGAAACCTTTGCATTCTATTTCTAGCTGCACTAATATTGTATTATAATTTATTTTTAAGTGATATCCATTTTATAAAACAGACTTCGGTTTAGAATTAGAGCAACTACTGCGAGATAGATGGCAAATAAATTTGATAATAATAAAATAATCAATAATCAAGTTAACAAGCATTGGCTCTTCAAGTGACAAAATCATAATAGGGCATTAGCTCAGTGAGGAATTGCAGCATAGAGAAACACGCCTCATTTCTTAGAAAGATGGCCTACATTTTTTCTGTTATGACATGTATGTAAGAATGGAGCTTAAGACATCACAAATAAAGGTTGTCAAAGGCCCCATTTATAAAAGATGTATCTTTTTCTTTATAGCAATTTGAAATACCAAATACATATTCAAACTCAGTCAAAATACAAAAATAAAACATTTTGCCAATATTTAAATTAATTCTTCTCTTAATAATAGAAACTGTAAAGTGGTACTAAGAATACTAGATTTTTAATTGAAAATTTTACCAGTCTTATTCAACTGGGGATTATAAATACACTTTCCCCTGTATCACTGAAAATGTAAAAGCTGTCTCATAAAAAAGGAAAGGATACTAAACTCTCCAGGATATAGAGGCACCTGTCATACAGACACTCTCATTTCAAGCAATACCCAAACCTTCAGAGCTAGTCTTATAATGGACTGTCACTGTCCTCACAAAGCTAACATGAGAATTTAGTATGAGCTCTGTAGAACAAATCAGTATTCCCTTTAGCTAATCAGTAAAGATATATCAAAAGTGGCTTCTGAACAAAGCATTAAGACTGTCCCCATCTCTATCCTTTCCTTGTGCAATATATGTTTCTGCAGCAGAAAAGTGGGGAAAAAGCAGCTCACTAGCTGCAAAGCTGCCCTGAAATTCATGGTGCACTGGTTACTATGTAAGCAGCTGTGGGAAAACAGAGCAAAAAAAAAAAAAAAAAACAGAGTAGAGACTTGTGGAAATTCCTACAAGTAAAGAAATGGCACAACCACAAGCCAAGTGGAATTCCACTGTAAATTGCAACACAGAAAGCTTGCAATTTGAACTTTACCAGAGATACAGAATAAAGTCCCTGTAGAAGTTCCATAATTATATACATCATCAAAGTCTGTGATTCAGCAGAATCATGACATGTATAATTCTACATGCTTTAATGTTTACATTCTATCTTTCTTCCATGATGCCACTCAAGATGGCATTCATCCATAGAATTCCGAGATGGTCTCTAATCCAGATAATGATGAGGTCAAGGACAACTGATTTTCAGTGGATTAAGAACTCTTACAAATATTAATTCACCAAAATTTGCTGGTGTTAAGCTACTTGTTCCTATAGACAGTGCACATAATTATGGACTAAAAATATAACTGGAACACAAACACTTCTTGATTTATTTATTGGAAAAAATAAGGTGTGGTTAAACCCAGGTTATGGCGTATTCATACTTTTATAAACAATTGTGAGATTTCAGATCCAAGGTAAAATTTGGACATATAAAGTGATAAGTTTATCCAAAGATAGAACAGAGGCTATTAAATGGTTGTATGATGGTTTACTCATGCACTCTCTGCATGCTTTTCCGTCATTCTGTAAATTTTTGTTTTATTTTAAACTGGTTTTAACATTTTTATGTATTCTGTTTTATTATGTATGTTGTATATACAAACATAATAAGATAGATAGGTAGATAAATAAATAACAAGTTACATCTTTGCTTTCCAAATCTTCACCCATTCAATCTCTTAACCTTATATCCCATTTCACTGATTTTAATTCTCTTCACCAATTATGTCTGTTGGAAATCATTCCCTGTTTTATCTGCTCTCTGTGAATTAAGCACAGCAGGACTCACTTTGTTGCCTCTAGGTGACAAGGTACCATCAAGTATGGATTCCTTCAAAATAAAGTGAGTCAGAAGTATACATTCAAAGTCATTTAGTGCTTCAGGAATGTAAAATGGAATAAGATGACCTTGCCAGCCTCATCAGAAAATGTTACTTCAGGCCAATGAGCATATAATGATGATCATTTCTGAGCAGGTAACAGGGACCCAGGGGGTAACAATAATCTTTGGAGTAAGATAGCTTAAGATAGCAGTATTGTTAAATAGACAATTGCAACTCTTCTTTCTGATCTGTCATGATGCCAGCTTTAAATTCTTGATAAAACATGGCAACCCACATGCTGTGTGTCAAACGTATGCTGAATTATGAAGAAAGGAAGGACGGAAGGACAGAAGAAAGGAAAGAAGGCAGGGGAATAGAAGTTTCTAAAGGCAGTATTAAACAGGCAGAATCAAATCTGGTTCATCCTTCCCAAAATAGTAACAGCCCAAACCAAACTTAATTATAATAACCATGCTTTACTTGCTGTTCTAGCAAATGGAATTCAGCTCTTGCCCTCTCTTCTGGGCTAACTGTTACGCCATCCAAAACCTGAAGGTTAGGTAAGCGAAATATAAGGAGGGGGCGATGGGAAATCTTACGTGATACCTGAGAAAAGAAGAGAGATGCAAAAGGTTAATCCAGACATTAAAGCATGGGTGTCAAACTCTATCGCATCGTCTGAAAGTATTGCAACTTTTTTGCCTTTGCGGAGCTGGGATGGGCATGATGCATCCGGCCCACGGGCTGCCAGTTTGACACCCCTGCACTAAAGCATCAGGTTCTCCATATCCATATCCTTTCCAAAATTTTAAGTCAATTTCTTCACTTAACTTAAAGTGAAGACAGATACAACAAAATTAACACTTCTAACATTAGCACAGGGTAAAATCAGATGTAACATTCTTGAAAAGGCAATCTATTTTTAAAACATTAAAAGACACACATGCAATCCTTAAAAGAACAACAACAACAAATCACACACATTTTAAATGTGTTGTGCAGCAGTTCTTATTTTGAAAGAGAAGCTATATTGATAGAGAGAGTAATGATGAGCATTGATTTCTCTTAGTACTAGGGAGGGAAGCATATACAATTCAATGTTATGTTCAGCAGGATGGCAATTAGAAAACAGATAATATGACAAGTCTTGAAACGGCTTTTTTTTTTTGCACCAAATATATTCCTCAAAATAAAATTAGACAACTTTCAGAGCATATTTTTCCCTCAACCTCAACCTACTGAAACCAGTGTAAATGTACAGCCGAATACAGCAATCAAGCAGTAATAAGAATTACTGGGGCTGTGAGTGCTTCATATTCAATTCGACATGCCCTGAAGCACGGAGTGCATGAATGCAGGACCTCTTTTGCAGTTTCTTAAAGTAACTGCTTCTCTTGGGATCAAACAAACAATAACTAAATTGTAGTCCTCATTCTCTCTGAAATTTGACTTCAAGTTCTGCAATGTCTCATTTAACATATATACTCAATTTGAATTAAATCTATGAAGTGGCTAACCTAAACCTATACAAAAAGTTTAACAATAAAAAGTTTAAAATAATTTTAAAATGTACTCAAATAACCACATTTCAAAGTGGAACATTAAAACAGAAAATAGCAAAAAAGAACTTCAAAACCACAGCATATAAAACAACATTAAGTTTTAAAAAAAAGGAACAACCAGAAATCTGCTGGACATAAAAATATGAATGTGCCTGGGCAGGGAAGCATTTTTCTCTTAAGTTCTGACATTTGAACACCATTACAGGTAGGCCTCAACATATGACCACAATTGGTTCCAAAATTTCTGTTGCTAAGTGAGACAGATGTTAAGAGAGTTTTTGCCCCATTTCTTGCCACAGTTGCCCAAGTGAATCGCTAAAGATATTAAGTTAGTAATACAGTTGTTAAATGAATCTGGCTTCCCCATTGACTTGGCATGTCAGAAGGTCACAAAAAGGTGACCACATGACCCCAGGACACTGCAACCATCAGGAATACGAGTCAGCTGCCATGTGTCTGAATTTTGATCATGGGGATGCTGCAACGATCAGAAGTGTGAAAAACGGTCACATCACTTTTTTCAGTATTGCTGTAATTTTGAACAACTGCTAAACAAACTGTTGTAAGTCGAGGGCTCCCTGTACAGTTTTGCCTTCTTGCATTCAACTCATTTACATGGTTTCCCAAGAATGTATTGACTATCTATTTAGGAAAAGACCTCAACATATTCAGATATTGTGCTTAGTACCTTGAGTAAATTTGTAACAATTTATGGCAAGTGGGTTTGCCATAAAAGCTGTTTTAATCTTAATGTAACATGCAATACAGCATTTTCTAAATAGAAAGATTAGGAATATTTAGAGGAATTAAACAAATGGTACTATAAACATAAGTGATATAATTGTGCAAAATAGCATACTCACTGGATTTCCATATATTGAAAGTTCTTTAATACAAGGAAGATATTCAAGTTTTTCAAGTTCAACCAAATCCTGCACCCAAAATAAAAAAATAAATTTTGTTCAGTAAGTTTTTACAGGTAATCCTCATGTAATGACCAATTATTCAGTGGTCATCGTGGACCACCTATGCAGCCTCCACAGAGCCGTGTTCACATCACACCTTCTGTGCCACGTACACATTCTCCTCTGCCTGCTAGCAACTATCGCCAGCCCTTTCTTACTTGCCTGCTGGCCTGCTTGCAAGCTATCTGAGATCGACTTAACAACCTGCAATCCTTCCTTAATGACAACAGGGATTGCCAGAATTGCCATCACTAAGTGATGGTTGCATGATATGGTGCTTTAATAATTGCATCACTTAGCATCAGAATTTCTGGTTCTAATTACCATTGTTAACCAAGTTCTGTGTAGATTTTCTGTAAAAAATACATCCACAAAGTCACACAACATGGCATATGGGTATATGCATACTAGAGAAGGCATTTTAAGATACAATTCAAACAAAATAACGAAGAAACCCCAGAGATGCCAAAGATTTGTGTGCTATTTCCAAACAATACTAGATATAGACAGGGGCCAGATGCAATTTGTGGGGCATCCATGTATCATCTTTAATCCAGAGTGCACTATTTTTTTCTGTTTTTTTTCAGGCTTCAAATTCTGATTTCTGTTACAGTCCTTTCTGTCTTATGATTTCCAGCTGACTCACTCTCCTTTGTAAATAAAGGAATGAAGGAAACATCACTTTCTATATTAGTCAACCTCCTCCACCCTAATGCTCTCCAGATGTTATGGGAGTAGAACTTCCAAAATTTCCACTCAGCTGATATGCTGCCAAAAATTCAAGCAGCTACAGATTAAATATATTTGGAAGACTTCAGGATGTAAAGGCTGAGGTATAAGACCTACTGTACCTGAATTCTGTTGAGACCAAGGAAAAGCTTCTGTAGTTTTCCCAAGGGAAGCAAATTGTTGAGTTCACGCAGACGATTCTCCTCCAGGTGAAGAGCCAGCAAGGAGCTCTGTCTGGCAAAAGAATTCTCACTGATAACTTTAATTTTGTTATGATCCAGCACCAATTCCTGCAAAATCTGCAGCCCTTCGAGCCCTTCGGTGTGGCTGATTTCATTTCCTGTTACACCAAAATCAAAAGTGGATAGGGAAAAGATGCAATGGACAAATGGACAACTGAAAATAATTAAAAGGACAAATATTTCAGAATAGTTATATCCTCTTCACCCAGCCAAAAACATACCGCTGAATATCAGGTCTTGATAATGGATACTTCCAACCTCCACTGATCGTGGTACTTAAATGTTCCTATTTCTAAAGTATCTCTGAATAAATGGGGATTTATTTGATCTGCAATTGAGTCATGTTTATATTTTTGTGAAATATATTGGGCTACATAATTTATTTCAAAGTTAGTGTGTCATATGAACTCAGCAGCTGATGGCTTATTATTATGATGAATCCAGATTATTGTAACAACTATGATTTAATCAACAAACTATAGTTACAATAACACTGATTTAGTTAAATATGTTAACAATTATACCCCAAGCTGATCAAGTTGGCTTTCCATGATGGGAAGCCAATGATGTCATGACAAGACAAATATGGTATGATTTTAAACCCATGTATACAATATCCCTTCCTTCCTTCTCCTTCCTTCCTTCCTGTCAGCAACTGCCTAGACCAGGGGTGTCAAACTCACAGCCTGCGGGCCAGATGTGTCACGCGCTGGCCACATCCATCCCCATTTTAGCGAAGGGGGGAAAGTTGAGATACGTCACGTGACGTGAGTTTGATACCCCTGGCTTAGACTAATCCCTGCAACTTTTGGTAAGATTTTCTAAGTGGTTACCACTCTCTGCTTCCTAGAGCTGAAGGAGTGATTGGTCCAAGGTCATCCACCTAGCTTTGTGCCTAGGTTGCACTAGAATTCATGGTTTCCCAATTTCTAGCTGGTGCCTTAATCCTACACCGTTGGTTTTGTCTTTAATATTTAATGATTAATAAATTTAATATATTGTTCTTTATTTTGTAGTTTGAGTTTTTCCTACGTCATGTTAGCTGCCCAGTGTCAGGGTTCCGGCAGTTACCCCAATTAAATCATGAGTCTTGAGTCAAACTTCCAAAACTAAACAGGATTTATTTGGGAGTTAACATGTCGGCACTGCCTGAGTGTAGCCAACTCTGAGACACATAATTCACTGTCATCCTTTACTCTGGTTTTCCCCCCACCCCCCTGGGCGTATCATAATTCATATTCCCCAATGAGACACATCCATAGCCAAGAGTCATCTATCATGTTCTCCAGTTAGATTCTTGCATGGCAGAAACTTCAGTTACCTAGTTACTATCTCTGAAAAACTATGTATGGAATGCACTTTCGATTTCCAAGCTGCTGCACTGCTCTTTCAAACTCCTTTCCCCCCTCCCTTTCTATTGGCAACTCTACAATGGCCATAGAAATTTAAAGAGTTGACACCCAGACTTTATATTACAAAGTGGGAGGCCATATAAATTTAATAAATGATTAACCAGCAAAGAAAGTGATATCTCCTTTGCATGTGGAAGGATACCAAATGTATATTTTCAGGAAGAACTGAAATGTTTTCCTTGGCAAAAGCTACCAAACTGATATATTTTTTCACCCTACTGAATAGAACCAGCTAGACATGAAGTAGGAATTCCATGACTGCAACATCCTTTCTAAGGGTGCAGGAGAATCAAGGCAGTAATGCACCTTTCACACCCATGTCTCTGCTTAAACTTCTTCAAATCAGCTATTAGCTCTGGGGGAAAGAAAATATGCTTTCTCTCATAGGGAATAGCTTTTAAGAGATTCATATTGTGTAATCAGCATGAAATATAAGAATTGTTCCTCTGCTCACGCCTTAATCCCAATAGAAAATCTACACATACACTAACGCTCTTCAGAACCTCTGTTGACAAAGGAAAGAATACAGGAGATCCAATAATAAAAATTCTATATTACATTCAGTTGGATCAGAACAGGTAGAACTTTTTCCAATCTTACCTTCATTCACAGGTTTTGCTGCTGTTAATAAGTCTGCAAATTTATTTTTTATTAGAGATAGTGTAGCATAAAATAACACTAAGGCTTTGGGGGAGAAGTATTTTCTGAATTTAGTATTAATATTTTCAATATTGTTTCTTTGAGAGGATATTTCTAATTTCTCAAAAGGAGAAAGGGGGGTGATATAGGCTTTTTCCTACCCAACCGGTTTTGTGATATTATGCCATAATAGCATCATAAAGGAACTTACCTGATGAAACACATTATCTGGATTAGTGATGTAGGCTTTATGATATGGTGCCTATAAAGCATGTTATTATTTGATCTAATGGTGATCCTTCTTAGAGATTACAGTTAGGGATCACATTTTCATTTGGTATTTGAAATATATTGTTGGAGTACATGTTGTTCTTCTTTAAAGTACTAGACAGCCATGGTCTTTTTCAGAATATTCTGCTGCATGTACCACCTATAACAATTTTACTTTTCTGTAAAAGGCAACTACAAATGCATGATAATGATATTGAACTAGCTACTATTGTTACTTACCCTGTAAAAACAAAAACTTCAGATTCTTTAGCCTACTAATCTGTAACAGGACCAAATTTGTAATTCCATTATAGCCCAAATGGAGGACTTCTAAACTCTCCATTATTGGAGACAAGCTTTCACTGACTCCTGCATCCCTAAAATAAAAACAGAGTCTGAGTCAGAAAGAATAACTTAGTAAAAATTGAATGTGGAAATAAAATTCTGTAAAGGTTTCCAGGACCTATGTTAGGCTTTTGAAACATTGTATGGGAAAATACATCCTGTTATATAGTGGGAAACGAGACAGCAACCTAAACATTAACTTTAAGCAATGGCATGGAAATCCATTTTTTCCTTAAGGAAATGGAAAAGATAATGGGAATAGCTGTAAATTACTTTTTAAGTTTTGTATAAGGTTTATGATGATGATCTCTTAGCAATATTTTGGCAATATCTCCAGCCATATGTTCTGGACTTTCTCCATTTCGCTATGTCTTTTCAGTCTTACCTTGGATGAATATTTCTGAAAGATGCTAGTATAAAAGCTGTTGTTGACATATGATGTCCTGGATATCAGCACATCCAGTAGATTGAAAGACCGGCAATGAGTCATGCAATAACCTACAATGATTTATTTCATTACTGGGCCAGGGTCAATTGATTCTCTTATTAACTAGAATAGCCATATTACAATAAAGAGTCTTTTCTTACCTAGCTTAGCTCTTTGGAATCAATGGCCACTAAATTATGTCAGCCCTTCAAGGTAGATCAGACTAGGAATCCAATGTCATGTATGGCAGTACTACTTTTTCTGTAAAGTTATAGTAAGAGAACCTTGCAAGTTTGAATGCATACATACCCCTTTATCTTCATGAGAAGTAGGGAAAGTCTTGTCTGAAAAATTTACTCAGGTTACCTTCCTGCCCTGCATTCAGTTCTTTTTTATCTGAGGGTTGTCTTGGTAACAACTCTTCCTCCTGCCCCTCAAGGCCATTCCTTCTACCCTCTCTAATTATGCTTGGCCATGAGCATAAAATAGGAGTGAAACCGTTTTCCTTAGCACCCTGATTAAATTGTATCTTTAAAACAATTCACCTTTTGAGTGTGCATATGCTGAAGTTATTATATGTGATGAGTATTTTAGTATAGAGAATCATTTTTACTGTGATAGTGTAATGTATTGCAACAGGTCATAATATTTTATGCTTTTATGTTTGTACTGCACCTAATTATAATCACATGCTAAATAACAAATAAAATCACTACTACCGGTACTACTACTAATAATAATAATACTTCTTTCCATTTCATCAACAGTTCATTGATCAGAAAACATATTCAAATATCTATAGCTAGCAACAATTTTCCAGGCTCTTTTCCAAGCAAATGAATTGCAGGTAAATATAAATAAAACAGAAATCACAGCAATTGCTTATTTATTGGAGATGTGATCCACATAGCAATGAACTAAATACTGGCTTGGGATATTATATTTACTTCTCTCTTCAAGTAAGAATCTACTTAATGCTTTGTTTAAACATTAAGGAATACTTTAAACATTGTTCAGCATGACTTATCAATTAATTCAAAAAGAAATAAATGAGATGTACAGTAGTAGTGGAGTGTCAAGCCAGTAATACAGCTGCGGCATCCTGCCAGCCACGAAAAATTTAAGTCAATTAGCAATATTCAAACTTTACTTAGGTGGCTTGAATTTGAAATGCTCCATTCTGAGTTTGAAAAACCATTTCACATTCAAAACAGAGTGCTTCAATTAATGAGAAGTGTTTTGAGCTCAAAACAGTTTTGGCACATGGCTTATGCATCACCCAGACCTCCTTCAAGGAAATATGTAAGTTACAATACAAAATATTACTGAAGACGTAGATGGGATTGAAGAAGTGTTCATGGATGACCAATTAACCAATTCTATGACCAGCAATCTCCTGTTACAAACTCATAACATGGTTTTTCTCCCAGAGTTGACTCTAGAGGGAAAATGCTTTACTTGAAGACTAGCTCCAGTTCTAGTTAGAGTTCACTTCTCTCCAAGTAACTCTCTCTTCTTTTTGTCAGTGACATTAAGGCTGTGTACCTGCTGCTTTTTGAAGATCCTTGCTGTCCATATCCACTGGACATCACTTTCTGATGTAGCAACTGTCTGTTTGTTAAGTGATTGGAAGGCTTTTGTCTTGGGAGAATGGACTCAATATGATTGTAATTGAGGCAGAGAACCTGCATGAAAAATGGAATTAATTCTGCTCAGTTTAGATAATAAGGAGTAGGGCTAACAATTAACTGCTGTGTGGAAACATAGAGTACAAAAGATAACAATGATGACTTATATTTCTGTCCTGATTAAACATGCAGTGGCTGCTTCAAAAACACCCTTTCCTAATTAACATGCTAGATCAGAAGAGCAGGAATTGATTCTACCTCATCTAAAGCATGCCAGGGAGAGAATGCTACTACAGTACTTGGTGGCAAAGGATCCTCATAGGACAAATATAAACATGCCACTAACTAGCATGAGTGAGAAAATGCAACAATTTCATTACACAAGAGAAGATATGAAAAATAGAACACTCAATTGATATAGGTGGGTATATGAATTCTCTACCAGCCTTGAGCTTGTTCAGTGACTGCTAATATTTATAATGTCTACTGTTTCAAAATTAGAATAAATATTTAGTTCTTAGCCATTGGGTCTAAATTTCTTTAGGAATTTTAGCCTAATTTTACTACTACCCTGGGATACCTGATAGTTTTAATGTTCAGATAACAAAACCCTTTACAATCTTTATAGAATTTAATTTTAGAATCCATCTTAGCAGTATTATGTTTTATAATGATGCAAATGACATAAATACAGTACATTCCTATCAGTGCCTAAGACAGGGGTCGCCAACCTTTTGGACCTCAGGGACCACCAAACTCATAATTTTAGATCCCAGGGACTACTAACTGGTTCTGTGGGCATGGCTTAATTTGTGGGTGTGGCTTGATGGTCATGTGACTGGCTGGGCATGGCTTATATGTAAATATTATAAATATTTATATAAATATTGAATTTTTTATAAAAAGAGCAACTTTTACCCAAAATCAGGCAAAGCAGGCAGGCAGATTGAGTTGCTCACAGAATCACAGATTCATTCAGAAATCTATCTATCTGCCATTGGCTAGCTCAGTCTGTCACATAAAATTTGCTTGCAAACACAAAATTAACTCACAACACACCAAGTATGTAAATATTGATTTTTTATATAAAAAAGCAACTTTTATCCAAAATCAGGCAAAGCAGGCAGATTGAGTTGCTCACAGAATCATTCAGTGATCTATCTATCTGCCATCGGCTAGCTCAGTCTCTCAAATTTGCTTGCCGTGAGTCTGCACTGAATTTGCTTGCAGACAAACCTTCAGTCCTAAGGGGGGTTCGGCTGTGCTTAGCTAGAAAGCAAGAAATCCAACCATTTCCTGCTTCCTAGCTAATCTAAATCTCTCGGCACAGTAGAACAGCTGATGGTTGGAAAAAGGAAAAATAGCAACTTAGCAGACAAGTTTGCTGGGTAAGGAGTGAGTGGGTGGGGAAGGTTTCCGCGGGCCATGTGGGCTGAGCAGCGTTGTGTTTCTGTGCAGCCTGGATTAATTGCTTTGGGGGGGGGGTGCTCTGGGGGTGAGATTTCTCTGCAGCCCACCAAAATTTTCTCAAGGCCCACCAGTGGGCCATGGCCCACCGATTGGCGACAGCTGGTCTAAGAGATAGAAATCTGTAGTTATGCATCTCCATCATACATAATTTGGACTATCACATCTCCTTTTCTACAAAGCCTCAAGGACTAGTTAATGATAGGAGATTTTTATTATTGAAGAGAATAAAAGATAAGTCTTGTGAATGCTGCTTATAGGGGAGTTACGTGAGAACTCAAAATTAAAGCACTCTATTTTTACTATAGGAAGAACAGAAAATCAATAAAATTAATTGTGCGTATCTGTGGCCTATTTATAGTTTTGGTAAACAATAATAAGACTACATTGTATTTTATTTTAAATTTCTTTTTCCAATGTCTATGATATCACACAGCAGTAGAAGTTTAATATTCTTGTTAGCTAGAATATTTTCCCCACATAGTTGGGCATTCTGATGTTTCAGGCAAAATAACTCATCACTCTACAACAGGGGTGTCAAACTCAAGGCCGGGAGGCTGGATCTGGCCCATGTGGTACTTAGATCTGGCCTGCAGGGCTGCCCTGGAAACAGTGAAGGATTGGCCTGTGGTGCTTCTGCCAGTGAAAACAGGATCCCAAGCTCTGTTTTCGGCTGCCATGGCCTCCTGCAACTTTCTGCCAGTGAAAACGGAGCTTGGGAGGGCCGCATTCACTGGCAGAGGGTTGTAGGAGGCCATTTATGTCTTCTTTAGTGCCAATAAAACCAATAAAGGTTTTATTGAATGATCATTTTGGATTTTTTTCCATAAATACATCCCACTATAAAAGTCTTTTCTATAGTACCCTACCAACAATCCATTTTTCTGACATCTATAATTTTGGAAATATATTTTACCTATGTTATCAGAATATTTTGCATTTCCTCTTTAATGTTGGAACTTCAGTAAGTTGAACTAACTTTGAAAAAAAAGGCTGCCCAAACTATGACATTTTCATATATATAACTTGGCTAAAATCTTTAAAATGAATATACCAATAATGGCTTTGAGAGAAATGAGGATGTTAAAATTTAACAGATGCAGATTTTTAAGGATTAGAAGTCACTTGATAACAGAGTAACAGAATTGGAAGGAAGGTCTTCTAGTTTCCTGCTCAAACTTGAGACCCTAGACCATTCCAGACTGGCTGTCTGGTCTCTTCTTATTAAAAGCCTCCAGTATGGAGCACCCACAACTTCTGAAGGCAATCACTGTGATGTTTAAAGTTCGGTTTGAAATTTCTCAGTCTGGTTTAGATGTTATAGAGGGGGGAAAAAGCATTTTATGACTTAATACAAAATGTCATATAACATTTCCTGTAATCAGCTTCTGATGTTTGTCTGTGCTATACAGTTCAACCAAGGCTAGTTTCAAGACAGATACATTTCTGAACATCTCCCTGAATTTTTAAGAAGACATTAGAAGCTCTGCCATTGTTGAAGCCATTAAGGAATCTAATAAAGAAGTATCTCTGAAATAATGACCCAAGGAAGTCTATGTCTGTCCGTCCATCCACCCATCCATCCATCCAACCAAAAAACCAACCAACCATCTAGGGATGCAGAGAAAGAAACCAATGAAAATTCTTTCCTCTCAGTGCTATGATCATAAACACTCTGCTGAAGTAAAAGCCTTCCAAAGATGCACAGAGATTCTGATGAAGGCATATTTGGACCAAAAATGGCCTGCTGTTTATCATTGCAGTAGTGGAAGAACTACTCAGTTCAGTAATATTAAGTTTATGAACATCTGGAGGATGTCTCTCATATTTAGGATAAAATTATAGATAACTGAATGGATAGTGTATGTATACTAACAATTTAGACAAGGGCCTGTTCCTGAGTCTATCCACAGTGTTCTTTCCCTTCCCTTTAGAGGAAGCTTGAAGCAAGTACTATGAACATTTCCATATATTCCCAGTATTTTTGTGGCACTTAATTGTAAATATTTTTGATAGGCAATATTGCTGAAAATCAATAAATGAGGTAATAAAAAGCCATATGAAGAAATAATCATTGTGACAATAGTATGAAGTAACCCTAACATATCTCAGGATCAGTACTGTAAGAATATCTACTATGTACGATAGGAAACTCACCTTAATATTAGGTAGGAAGATCAAACCACTGAAAGAGGTAAGATTATTGTTCTGTAAATTCACACTAGTGATGTTTTTAAATTGGTCTGCTGGCACAAGATCCACCATTCTGAATCAGACAAAAAGGGCATTTAGGGGAAACAGGTGCTTTTTCAGAGGCAGACTTTAGAGGAGCACATATATAAACTTTTCATTTATTTCTTTGCAGATCTAATGCACTAAAAGAAACACCTTCTGCCATTGCAGTTATTTGCTTATCCTATCTAGAATGTCTAACTTGACTGGTAGGAATGCTGCAGGTCCCAAGCAGATCACATTAGTAGTTATACATCTGGAGATTTTAGAATCTCCTGCATGCAAAGCCTGTACTGTAAGCATCTATGATCATTTCAATTCCTTCGGAAGCAGGGTGGTAGTGGCAATTTTTAAACAGGAAAAGATAGAAAGTGGTGGAAAGAACACTAAATTAGATGGACCAATGAACTGAGGCTGTATGTCACAGAGCAGCTTGCTAAGTCCATGCATCCATTAACTACTGATTGGATCAACTATTAGCACAACAAAGGGGGCTAATTCCCCCTTAGTGCCTTGCTAGCAATCATCAATGGTGCAAATAGAATACTCCATAATTTCAAACTCCTCCAGAGAATTTAGAGCAGACTTGGCTTCAAGGAAACTACAGCTCATAGAAAATACTCCCAAGCCTGGATATTTATTCACAATGATTCGGCTGCAGATGTGAATTTAGACAGCAGTATCAAGGGATCAAGAAAAGAGAAAGAGTAGGGATTCAGCTCTTGTTTGTCCAAGTTCTTCCAAAAAATAAAGCACAATCTAGAGCAGATGGTTAGTGGAAATGTATTCCTGGGAACTTTCAGAAACTGTTGCACAAATAATTTTTAATATAGGGCAGAGCAAGTAAGTCTAAGCAGTAAAGTGCTTTTTAAAACTCAGTTGACATCTCAGCCCCATCTTAATATATGACTGAGACACGCCCCTATTTCTCAGTCTAATCTGCTCCACAGATTAAAAAGATTTTAGGAAGAAAAGAGAACCATGTATGTTTCCTGTAGGATAGCAGGATTAAATGCAATAACTAAGCATCAAATTAATATAAAATAGGAACTGAGGGTACAGAAAGATGAATCACCATAAAGTTATTTTCACTTTAATATCTGAAAGAAATTCACCTGATCATAGAGGCTGTCCAGTTTAATTCTTGCATTTTGCTGAAGTTTGAATGGCCCAGTCTTTCTGCCACCATATCAGCGTTAAGTTTGCCACCAAACTGATCTTTCGCATTTTCTATTTCAGTTGCTTCCTATTATAACAACATTTTAAAATGTAAGCTGAAAATATATGTAGTATTAAACATGACTGAATTACTACCCCCAAGGAATTATGATTAATGGCTTCACTTCAGGTGGAGGGAAATATATATTGGGTTATCATGTCATCAGGCTTTGTGTTGGGCTTTGCGCTGTTCAAAATTTTTATTAATGACTTGAATAATGGAGTTAAGGAGATGCTCTTCAAAACTGGGATGAACACGACTCACATAACTCTCCACAGTTTTTGTCTATTCTAGCTGCCACTACACTCATATAATCCGTCATACTGTGATTTCTCTTCTATAATCACCTGTCTGTTTTTTCAAAATCTCATTAACTCCATTCAACCATTTGTTTCTTGGACATCCATCTCTTGTGGATCTATTCAGCATTCCTTCATTTCGTTATGCAATTAAATCATCCTCAATTTTATTTATTTGACTATACCACCTCAGCATACTGTACCTTCTTCATTCTGGTCATTAATTTTAGTATTGAAACCAGTTTTATTCAGCATTTATTCATTCATGACCCTATCTCATCTTATTTTACCTATGAGCAGTTCTTAAGCATCCTATCCTCATTCCACTCAATTTACTATTCTATACTGTTTCTCTAGAGATCCCTAGACTCATTTCCATAAAACAACTTGGGTAGAAATGGTTTTTTGTTTATTTCAACAAATATTCATTCTTTTTAAACATACTACTCACTCAATCTTTCTACCAGTGTTTGCATATCTTAACCACTCTCTGCTTTCCTGTTTTTAGTAAACAGTCTACCAAGGTATACAAATTTATGTATAATCAGTAATCAATTTACAACCACAATTGGGACCAGAAAACTGGTTGTCAGTCTGTCAGTCAGTCAGTCAGTCAGTCAGTCTGTCTGTCTGTCTGTCTGTGTCTGTCTGTCTGTCTATCTTCTCATTTTCCCCCTTGCCCTTCCCTTTCAAACTAGGCATCTGAAACTTACCACAGCAACACCATCCAAGGCTTTCAGAGAAGGAATATGAAAAATGACAAAAAGGCGGTAGTTTTCTTGCTTCCAAACAATCAAATTTCCATAAAAGTCTAGTATAGCCAGATTATTTAGCCCCTAGGAAGCAAATAAATTAACTCAAAATTAAACGTGCAATTAAAGAAAAGGGATAATCCTAAAATAATGCTTTTGAGGTGGATTATAAAACATGCAATGTAATAAGGATTACTGTTTGTAGTAAAAGAGTTTATATGGAAGAGTTTATTTGGAATTCTTGCACGTTTTATGTCTCAAAATGTTTTAACAAATTTCGTATTTTAAGTAGAAATGGTTAATATCTCCTTGGCATCTAAACAGACCAAAACTGTTTACTTAGGAAGCAATCTGCATTGCTAGCAAAAACATTGAATTCTGATGAGAATGTCAACTTTGAAGCTGACCTTACCAAAGCCATTTTGACCGCTTCAGTGTTGCCACACTAGAGCTGAGGATAGGGAGCGGAGATTTGAGATAGAGGGGATTCTGTGGCCAAAACAAAACACTTTCTCTTGGGAACCAAGAACACTCTCACACCTGGTCGGAGGAAGATGGAGTGATGCTACTTGGTTGCCAGACCGCACCATGATTGGACCATATGACTGATTGTTTTGAGAAAATAGAAAAACTTTTACTTTTAAAAAGGTGAAAACTGCAGGAGTATTCAGAGTCGGTTTTCACCAGATCTGTGCCAATATCTGTTCCAATACAGCGATTCTCTGAGTAATCTACTGGCCTTGGAGTTTTGCTTGATATGGATTTATTACTTGGAACCCTGACAGAGAATACTTACTCTACAGTAGGGATGTCAAACTCGTGACGACATGTTGTTGTATGATATATCACAACTTTTTTCCCTTTCACAAAACCGGGGGTAGGCATGGCCAGCATGTGATGCATCAGGCCAGCAGACCACGAGTTTGACACCCCTACTCTATAGATATGGTTTGTTACCATATTTTTATTACAATGGAATCATTGCTGCCATCTACTATTAGTGCTTTTGATAATAATTAAAAAGGAGTAAAAAATGAATACTGAAGTATATTGGGAAAAAATTTGGAATTATTGTATTTAATTATTTTGTAAACACACCTCTATAGAAATCTGAAATTGATGTCTTTTACTTTTTTTCTTTTTGGTTAAGAAGTAAAAAACTGCAAAAGGAAAAATATTAAGGGAAAAAGTGGATGGAAAAAAATGTCTCCTAGTATCTCAATAAGTATTGGGCTAGAGCGGCTTTGAACTTTGAAACAAATATGCTATATTAATGTCATACCTAATGAACTGTTATTTTTAATTGCTCAACTCACAAAGACTTTATTTTCCTTACTTCACAGCTCCATTTTAGGCAGTATCAATGTTCTATACTCTTAATGCACTCTTAGATGGATTGAGGCTATATTTTCCTAATTCTCAATCAGCATGCTGTCCCTGAATTCTGCATTTTAATGCATTTATAGGATGCCAGGTAAGAATAAGCTATGTAAAACACCAGTGTGATTTTTGTTCATAGGTTAAAGTAGCAACATTTTCATTTTAACATACAAATGCTACCTTTAATTGATATATTTCTTGGTTTGAGGACACATAGTTGTTGCTTATGTAGAGTTCAATGAGTGCATAGGCCTTTTGTAAACCTCCTAGTGATGTGATCCGGTTGTTTTCAAGAGAAAGGTAATGAAGGTGTGACAGGTTATCAAAGACATTTCTCTCCAGGCTGGTGAGGTGATTGTTGTTGGCACTCAGTCGCATGAGTTTGGAGAGTTTTGAAATACCTAGTAAAAGGAAAAGAACAAACCTTCTGAACAGATAGGCAAGAGAACAGCATCACAGCAGATATGGAACAGACAGACAAGGAATCATGCTGATCTATAACTTCAACTCATCTTCTCTAATTAATACCTCAAGCAAATGCTTATAGTGTACTTTTATTTACAGGATATATTTGCATCCAAACACTTTAAAGTTGCCTATGTATTAAAAATATATGAAACGTTCTCTCTCTCTCTCTCTAACACACACACATACACACAGATTAAAACAAGAAGCAAAATAAAATGCAATAACAAAGCCAATAAAAAGAATCAGTCAATGAAACTTTCTGAAGCTAAAATGCCAGACAAAATAAGGCAAAAATATTGGGACCCAGTGGAAATTCTGTAGTATGTGAAACACAAGAATCGCAAGGGCACAAGACAAATCTGTGATTTATGAACTATGAGCAAACCTTTTTTTCTTTTATTATTTTATTTTTTAAAAACACCTTCTAATTAACTCCATTATCTCAGCTACATTTGCCCATTACTAACAGATCCCTCCACATTCCCTCTACCTTTTCCTTCTCCTTTATATATGAGATGAATGCATATTCATGGGAAATCAGGTGTCAGAGTGTTTACAGCGTGACTACTATTGTGAGACAACCCAGGAGCAAAACACAGGACACAGAGGCTTTGTCTTTTAACAGTGGTTTATATACAAGACTACTATATACATACATGTGTTAGGCAAATGCCAGGCAATCAATCAATCTTCAACTCTACACAGAGAACTACAATGGAAATAGAACATAAGGAAAGAGATGCCCTCCCTTATATAGACAGCTTCTTAAAGTGGCAGTATCCTGCTGACTCATCATCTTGGCTTACAGCAACTGGTCAGCTATTAAATCTTCATTACCTTAACATCAGGTGTATGAGAGAAGAGATCCTTTTTTCCCCCTCAGATTTTCCTTAGTTAGTTTTGAGTACACAAATCAAGAGAGGTGTGAGAGGATGGTAATCATTATAAGTATATATGCATTACAATTTAATAGTTTAATTTTAATTTGCTATCTATTTAAACACCATTTCATGCTCCTATAACCCCTTTTGCAGATAATCCCAAGTATTCCACTCAAGAACTGTTATTTTAAACCTAATTTGAATGAAAGTTCTCAATCCTGTTCTGGTGGCAAGAAACTTCATCATCTCTGTACAGCCACTGAAAATATTCTGTGTACTGCATATAAAGCTTGTGATGTATTTGTTCCTTGCTCCATGTTAATATGATTATGTCGCACTGGCCAGCTCCAAATAAGAATAGTGGGAGCCTCCCTCAAGTTTCATGTGGAGGAAAATGCATAAAATAAACTGTCTACATTTCACATCAGCTTAAGTTGTTGGATACCGTTTTTCAAAATGACACCAATTATAGTATGCTTCAAATGCCATCCCCACCCGTAAGTCAAAAGCAAGATAACATATAGTCCAAACAAAATTTGCACAGACCAGGATTAGAAGTATTTTTTGGAGTAATGGAAACATGGACATAAATGACAACTGTGCAAGTTTTCAGGTAAAAGCTACCATATCCCCAAAGTACAGCTATATAGAATTAAAAAACAGAAATATATTACCTTCAAGGTTAACAATGCAGTTTCCATCTAATGTGAGTTCCTCCAGATTAAGGCAATGATCTAAACCTTCTATTTTAGTCAGATTATTGTTGCTGAATGATGCCCATCGCAAATTCTCTAACTGTTCTAACCCACTGATTTTGCAGAGATGCTGTCCATCCAGATCTAATACAGTAATCTGTTTGGGGGAAAAGAGCCACACACAACTCCCTCTGTAACAAACATTAAGTGACTATAATAGCAAGTATAATATAAGGGGAACTTGGGTGGGAAGTGCTTTAGGAATGTTTGATGGTATGGCATATCCCCTTCTCTCTGATCATTCCACTGCAGCCATTTTATTCATTAGTTCCTTTCTTTATTAGTTCCTTTCATCTCCCACTCATCCTACTTTTGACACCAACTTTTCCCTGGGTTTCCAAGAAGATAGAGGATAGCAGATCAAGAATTAGTCAATGTAATATAATCATTGAACTGTTGGGCATTGGCTGAGGAAGACTGGCTTAGTCAATTTTTTTTCAGCCTAATTTACTTCAGAAGGCTATTATGAGAGTAAAAATGGAAACATATGTGCGCTTTGCTGGAGTTTTTGGGAGGGAAGAAGTGTGGGACATAGGTGTATTACACAAAGAAGTAAAACTACAAATAAAGGAGCAAATATAGTAAGTGAACACAAGAGTAAAAGATGTGGCATCCTGCCAAAAGATAATCGTGTGAGTGTAACATTATTCCAGTTAATAGAAATTTGGAAAAAGAAGTAGGAGAGAATGGAATATTAACAAAAGTGAAGCACTGTGTAGTGGAGTTCCCATTTCCCCTCCACACTCCTTACACAAGAATGCCAGTTGTTCTGAAATACATCCACTTTGTTATTGCTTATCTGACTCAAGATTTTGGCATACGGCAAGACACTAAGGACATGCAGCTTCTCCTGATCTGTCCGAGAATACTCTATCAGAGACATCTGGAGAATAAAGACAATCAGATTAAATGGTACATTAAAATAAAAGCATATGCTGCACATTTCAATTACAAGAGTATACAATTTAGTAATTTCCAGTGGGATTTTTGCACTAGAGCAGAGTTATTACATACACTGTTAACTCTGCCTTTAATTCTATCTGTGAGGTATAATAAAATTCTCCACCAACAAACCTAATCTCTCTTTATCTCAAAGGGTTTTTGCTGCTTTCTAGTTATGTATCTCACAGTTTTGAGATTACAAATGGTAGTCCTATGCACAGACACTAAAAGGGAATAATTTTCTGAAATGGATTGTTATTTTGTGAATAATTGACTCCAAAATGTCTTAGATGTCCGTAAAGTATAATATTCCTAGAAAACAATTACACAGTGTTGAAGTGTAAAATAACTCTGAGTCAGCTAGAGAATTATACCACGAGCAATTCAAACATTTTCTTTGAAATATTACTGAGAAAAATATGCCAGTTAAGTGCTACTCCAGTTCATAAAGCTCAAGGCACATTACGTTTTCCAGGATGTCATTAAAAACCTTGCATTTTTAAAAATAGCAGTAACAGTGACACTTAAAACTAGATTTCAATTTGCCTAAAATGTTGCAAGCAATGTACAATGATCATTTTAAGAAACAAAGAACCATCAAACCTCGGTGATTTTGGAGTCTGTTATATATTGAATAGCAGCTGCTGCCTCTTCCCCAGTAATCAAAATTCCATCAAGGTGTCTCAGAGCTCTCAACTGACCAATCACACTCAGACGCACAGAGGCTGGCTTTGGGAGAAGAAAAACAGGCATGGGATGCTGTGCTCTAATTTCAAACTATTCAATGATCACCTCTGCCTGGAGTCATCGGCTTTCTGGCTACTTCCACAGCTTGCTTCTCTTTCCTTTTCTCTCCCTACTGCTCTCTGGTCCTGCTTACACCAAAATCTTTCGAACAGTCTTCCCTCATTAATACCAATATTTGTTTTGATTTCAGATTCCAGTTCTAAAATTCTTCTGTCTTCAGAAATGCATGGACCTGGAACATTCATTGTTACAGGCTTGACACACCTATTTTAGTATTTTATTATTTTAAACAGGAGAAAAAATTGCAGCTTAAAATTATCAACAAGGCACATGCTGCATGTGTCCTGTAATCAGCTCAAAGCTGCATTTTATGATGGAAACAGATAGCACCAGAAGTTGGACTAACTTAAACTTCTTTTAAAGAGCTATTTTTTGTCTTGATTGTGAAGTGCAAATCCTCTGCTTTATGTTCATGCATTGGATGTTTCCAATTGTAGAAGACTTTTTAAGACAATTGTTCTTCTAGAAGGAGTAATCGGCAGTACACCCAGAAATGATTGTATTCATGACAATGTGAATATGTTACCTTGTCACATTAAGGAAGCAACTGTTTACATCTACAGCCCCTATCCTTTTGGATACCATGTACCTCCCACCCCTGAGGTACATGTGACTCTAATGCTTCAATTTTTACTGACATTTCTTATGACCTGGCTCTTTTCCCAGGCTTGAAGTTAGAGCTTATGGAGCCTGGTCATTTTAATTTGTGTGTGTGTGTGTGTGTGTGTGTGTGTGTGTGTGTGTGTGTGTGTGTGTTATGTAGTTTTGTCTATATGGTCACTTTTCTTCAAATTATTATTTTTAAAAATATTGTAAGCAACTCAGTCTTTTTGGAATTGAGTGGACATGAAATCCAATAAATAAACTGATTAAAGCAGGCTTACATGTAAGGCAGTAACAACTGCAGCTGATTGAAATGTACCTTATGCCATGGATTATGCCTGATATCCAAGCTGAGCAACATCGGTGTATGTTTACGTAAGACACCAATTTCTTCAGCTGGTTTTTTCAGCTGATTCCAGCTTAAGTCCAAATACTTCAGTTTGTTTAATCCTCTAATGCCTTCAAGAGTTATGACATGGTTATGGCTGGCATCAAAATATTCCAAGCTGGGCTATAAAGTATTCAAAAACAATGGAAAATTCATTTTTTTATCACAATACCTTTCATACCTTTTATTTCCCTCTCTTCCTGTCACCTCTTCCCTCAGCCATTCTTTCCTTTCCTTCCCAATGTTGCTAGCCTTTCTTTTAGCCCATCTCTATTATGATTTTATCCAGTTTTCCTGCTATTTCTGTTATAAGAATAAAAGAGGAATGTTGTCTGCATATAATGTATTTCTGACTATGATAAAATGATTGGCATATGCAAATGGCTAACAATTTTGTAAATTAGCTATTTTACTTTATCAGCAATTCATAACTAGTTATATATTCAATTAAGACACTGGAGGATAGTGTGGAATGAAGTATATTTAGTCTTGAGAAAACTGCCAGGAGACCCAAGAACTCTATTTAAAAGTATGTAAAGGATGGTCATAAAATATAAGGCATGTTATTTTAGAAACAATGGGTGTAAATCAGAAGAAAGTAGATTATAAGTAGACATTGGAATAAAATTACTAACAATAATGGAACAGACTGTATTTGGGAAGTGGGGTTGGGAGTGGGGGTTGGTGCCTTCAAGTCAGATTTTCTTTTTATTGCTGGTAACTGCCTGGACTACTTCCTGTAGATTTCTTGGAATATTTTTTTAGAAGTGATTTGCCATTGACTCCCTTCTAGGGTAGAGAATGACTGGCCCAAGATCATTCAGCTGCCTTCATTCCTATTGCAGGACTAGAACTCATGATCTCCCAATTTCTAGTCTGATGCTTTAATCACTACATCAGACTGGCTCTTGCTTTCAAGAATTACTGGATTCTTGACAGTTCCTGTAAGCACCATGGTGAGTTGACAACTTGTTGACTTTTGCTGGCTAGGAAGACAGCTTTTATGAGAGGAATTGCTGCTAAATGCTGGATCCAAGCCAACATAATCTCTCCTGAACAAAGGAGATATAGTTAATTTTCAATGTATTTAAAATATAATTTTTGGGGGGGAATTATGCAGCAAAAGAATGGATTTTGGAAATAATGATTAAGGAGTCAGAGGGATTAAGAATGACAGTTTTGAATTATTTAGAATGTATTTTCTCATAGAAAAATGGAGTTAGCTTTCATTTCTTTTTGATAAGGAGTCCTTGAAGGTTGGACATTAGAGACCAAAGGATAAAGAAAATGGGGCAGAAATCCTTTGAATACCTTTCAGCCAAGTTTTTGGACAAAATAGATTAAATGCTTGATAAAATTGACAGAGCATGTTCTAATGAAGTTGTTGACACAGTTGACAGACATATTCTAATGAACAATAAAAAGCTGCAATGGATATCTATGAAATTAATTTGAAGGGGATTTAAATATAATACAAATGGATCTGATATATGACTCATTCCCTACAGGTGATAAACAGATATCAAATCAGGAAACAGCTCTGCTAAGATTTGGAAGGACTTTTTTAGAAGGATAAATTTTACTTATTAGTACAAAAGAAGTCTGCCAAAGTACTAAAGGATTTCCACACCAATGAGCAGCAAATTACCTCTAAAATTTCTTGGGGGAGCGGGTTAAAGAATATATTTTTAAAAACCAGAGAAAATTTATAAGATAGATTTATTCAACCAGGGCTAAAAGGAAAGAGTTACATCGAGTTACCCTTACTGAGCTTTTTCTGACCAAGATGAATTGGACCTTGTTTTCCTTATCTAAGCTATGGAGAGAAGAGAGGCTATGTTTTATTTAGTGACAGTGATAAGGGTATTAAAATGATTTTTATTTGCTGTGATGAAGTTGAGGCCTGGGAATAATATATGCTGGAATTGCAGTTATTGAGCGAAGCACTCACGTGACATGCCACTTAACAACCACTTTACTCAACAACTGAAATTCCAGTTCCAATTGTGTTTCTAAGTCAAAGATCACGTATACTGCACTTTTGCCACAAACTGATAGAAAACCAAGAGCTATTAAAAGGAACGGAAACTTTCAGGAGAATGATCTCCTACAATATTAGGCTTGCAGCTAAAAACATATGAAGGCAATAGAAACAAATGCTTGTTCTTAAAACAAAGGCCTGTCAATATCAGATTGCAAATTTTGGTTAAGTTTGTGTGTTACATTATAGATAATTAGGACAAGGATATGGTTGGTTCAAGTAATATACTTGAATCAAACACAATATCCATCTTCCAATTTGGGTGCATATTCCAGACTCATACTTAGCAAAATCAATTTTCCTTCATCAGAAATACACTTGCAAATACATGGAATCAAGTTGCTGTTTTATTCACACAAGAATTTTGGGGAGAGATAAGCAAAAAATATTCCTTGGTGCTGCTATTATCTTTTAATCCCCATTTCACCTCCCCCAAATTATTGAAACTCCCACCCCTCATTTTGTCCTCTGGAATAGAGAGGCATTTACCCAAGCCGTAAATTTTTTTTAGGAAAAAATGTATTTTTCTTACCAAGTGATAAACATCATCTAAACAAGTAAATTCATTAAAACTGATAATAAGCTTGCGAAGTCCAGTGAGTCTGGAGATATCTCGGAGTTTGGAAAGCCGGTTTCCATGTAGATTCAGAACCTATATTAGTAGGAAAACAGGAACTGCTTATTGATCTTTTAGTATTTAAGGGATGACAGCTGAGTGTTGTGCAAAGCTTTCAGAGCCATGTTGTTTGAAAACTATTAAAATTTCCCTACAGGAGTGCATATTTGTATATGCATGGACATGTAGAAAGCTACAGTGAAGTAAATCAGTTATCATGTCACAGGCTCATGCTGATCCTGAAGATGATGTTCCAATTGAACTTGGGAATGTCAGGAAACCCAAAGGCAAGAATCATGTAAGGCTGATCAAACACAAGTTCTACATGAACAGCTAGAGCAATCTGATATTGACAGTGTAAGGTCTCCAAGCACTCACACCCAATAAGCACAGCAGAGAGCAGAAGAAAGACATTCTATGATGCTTCTTGCTAAGTAAGGGAGCAAATTTCTTGATTAAAGACAACTGGAGAGTCTGAATTAAGAGGCAAGCCTGACCTATGTTCTTTTATTTGAAGCAACTATCTGATTTCTGGGTCTTGTATGGATTCAGCCGTGGTAGCGCAGTGTTTGAATGCAGCATTGCAGGCTAATTCTGCCAACTGCCAGCAGTTCAATTCTCATCTGCTCAAGGTTGACTCAGCCTTCCATTCTTCTGGGGTCAGTAAAATGAGGACCCAAATTATTGGGGCAATATGCTGACACTGTACACCACTTAGAGAGGACTGTAAAGCACCATAAAGTGGTATATAAGCCTAAGTGCTATTGCTATTGCTATTCTGCTTGTGAAACTTACCTATGACAAACCTAACTTGGTTCTTGGAATTTTGAGCTGGATTTTGACTATTCTTCTATGTGAAAATAAAACTGCTCAGGCAAACTTCCTTTTCAGAAACTGTGTTTTGTTTACATGACCTTTGTTTGTTGGCTCCTCAACCTTCAGTAAACTGTCAATTGCCATAGCAATTACGTGTGTGTAATTGAAACCTAAAGCAAGACATAACTGTGCATGCAATGCAGACAGTGAAGGGAGGGGGTGGCTTCAAGGCAGCTATGCTCTGGAGGATGTAGCTGTCTATATTAATGCTTCAGGAATAGCGTTTGCCCGCCCCATACCAAAGTACTTTACAAGCCCTCCTTTTCAAATGCTCAAAAGTACTTTACAACCCCTCCCTTTCAAATTTGCACGGCCATAGTGATTATCAACAATGAAAGCAGGAATTATGATTCATTAAATACCTCTGCCATCTCTTAAAATTATTTAGATATCATAGTTCAAAAAAAAATGCTATCCCTAATTTCAACATTTGAATGATTTATGTTGACAGAGGTAGTGTATTTCCAAAATATAATTTCAATAAATTTTATGCATTCTTGGAACAGTTTTCTTGATGTATTTTCAAAACTAACATTTTAATGTCAAGACTTGTATCTCAATTGGAAGTATTCAATTCATGAAAGAAACATAATTTCCTAACAAGTGTTCAGTTCTTTAAAAGACTCTACTCCTACAATTTAAATAATCAAAGCAGCTACTATTGGGATTAAAGTCCAGATCACATAATATAGGTACAAAGGCAGATTTACTTGAATCTATTGTTGAGCTTGAGAATGGGAAAACACTTTGTAATTCATCCTATTTCAAATCATTCATGTGGGTAGAATGAGCTAGCCTGTTCCTTTTCCATGGAACTTTCTCCATATTTTCTGTTAGATTCACTTCTGATATCGAAACTCCAATCATTACTAAAATGTACAGAGAATAGTAGCCAATGATATAAGATGTAGTCCATAAAATGGGAGTTCTCCAGCTTCCATTTTACGTCCAAAAAGCCTGATAATTTCTTTTGGTAGACTAGAACTACACAATCCATATCATGCTGTTGAAAAATACCGCTATTGCTGTTACTGTAATCCTTGCTTGATTGGCAGGGCTGTCCAATTTGTAAGAGTGGGCAATTTACAATTTGAAGAAACAATAAAACCAGGAATTAAAAATACAATGCTATCTAGTGTATTATCAAAGCATACAAACAGAATAATGAAGTAAAAATAATAGATGGCAACAAACCAGCCAATACATATACTGAACAAGGGTTTTGCACTCTACATGAGTTCATTCCATTTAGTCCAATGCTTAGGGAAAGGGCCAGGTCTTTAGGGCCTTGTGGAAGACAGAATAGTCAGGGTTATCCAAACCTCAGGGAGAATGATGTTCTCTGGGAAAGACACTGCAATAGAGAAATCATACTCTTCAGGTGCCACTAGGTAACATTGTTTCTTGGAAGGCAGCCAAACATACCTATTCTGCCAGACCTTTGGGGCTTAGCAGAGACAGGCAGTATTGCAAGAAATTAGATTAATCTATTAGATTGTTTTCTTGTGATACTTTCCCCTCTTTTATCTAAACATGATCTGAACATATTTATTCTGTGAAATCCCCAAATGTCCTTTATTTTATCCCCAGTCCATCAATGAGACAGACTTAATTTGTCCTTAGTTGTACTACTTTTACAGTAGCATTTTTTCCATATTCCTTCTAAAGTCCTTCCAAAATGCATAAGCATTTGGCAGTGACTGGAAACAGAAGCAATATAGCCAATATAACCAGTAGCAACAGAGACAGTAAATTTAATGTCAATATTGTATGCTTTTCTACCAATTCAGGGTACTGGATAAACTTCAACTCAGCGGTGGGGAAATGCAGAATCTAATTTTCATTCTGTAACAAGGCAGATGAAAAAAGCTACTTACCACAATCTGACTATAAATGTTGGCCTTTGAGATTGCCATCACAGTTTTTTCATCCAAGCAAATAATCTTGGGCTTGGGCTTAATTATTGGCTCCATGCTTAACACTTCATCATCATGCTGGAGATCCCGAGAAAACACAAAGCCTGCTGAATTTCGCCTTCCATCCTCCCCAATCACATTGCTGGGTGAGGAGAATAAAGCCTCCACTTTGACCTGCATAAAAGATCAGAAAAGGTTTTTTTAAACATGCTTGGTTGATGTGAAAATTGTGGACACCATTACATATAATAATGCTGAAGTTTTTAAAGATTAATATGCAACTGAAGCCAGATTTATTTTGGGGGAGACTGATGGATAAACAGTTGGAAAAAAATGTCACTTTGTTTTTGTATATGATAACTTTAGGGAGACTATTATCTGCACAAAGATAGAAAGATTTGATTTTACCCACAATGGAGGAATGGCTGATGAAGAGGATGGAATTTGCTGAGATGGCAAATTGTCAGCTTTAATTAAGAGATAAGACAATGTCTAAGTTTAATTCTGGTTGAAAACCCCTTATTGACTTTTACATGAAACAGAAAAAGTGAAATTATGTATGGGTTTGATGATTAGAAAAAAAAGTAAAAGATTAATTTACATAAATATAACTGTTATTAAAGAAAACAGGAAGTCATTTCTTTATATTCTTATTTTCTCATTGTTTTCTGCCCTTTTGTCTTTATTTATTTTTTCTTGTACATCAGAGCTCTCTGTTTGTAAGAGTTCAGTATTAGGAACAACTAAGATCCTGCACAGAACTGTCAATCTCCCAGGGTCCCATGGTGATAGAAAACACAGACACCCATAAGGGTGAGAAGGACATTTTTATTCATACACACATATAAACCAAAAGGCCATAAAAGTTTTTTTTCTTTCTCAATAATTAAAACACACACAACAAACATTATTTCAATACAATATTTGGTGGAAGCAAAATATGTACACTCAAAATGAATTGTTTTCACTTTAGTCTAGGAACAAAACAAAATAAATAAGCATAAATGATTAATAATTTTGGATTTTCCTTTACTACACATATGTAAAACAGATTATAGCAAGGGGACAAAAGAATGAATTTCCTTTCTCCTTCCTGGAATGAAGGGATATCAATACAATCATACAATTTTTCTAATTGTAAATATTTACAACTAAATCAAAGATAGTCTTATGGTACTTGAAAGAAATTCACTTATAAGTGTGTTCATGCAGTCTTTTACCACAGAATGCATGGATTATTAATCTAATAACATGTATGTAATTATATATCTGCATGACATGTACATATTTTCTCACTTGGGACATACCCTTGGAAAGTAGACTATAGTCAACAGAATGGTATTCCATTATAAACATTTGATTTTTAAAGTATAATACTGTAATTTGTCAAATTAAGATTCAGTTCCTCTTACAATAAATTAGTCTGTCTCAGTGCACAGTTAGGGTATTACTATACTATAACTTTCAGTTATTTCAGAAATAGTAATGCAGGATTAACTCTAGAATTCCAAATTCTAGATTACAAAGTACTCCTCTACCAATATGAAGAAACTTTGTCAGATGATGTGAACCCAGTGGCTACATTTACACAATATACAAGTTTTTTCAGTAATCAGATTAGGTCTGTAATGCAAATGCAATGAACTTTATTAATTTGTTAATATGCTCCCATCTCTTTCATCTTTAATTTCAATTTAGAAGAATGCTGGTGCTAATATCACAATTAAAGATTATCTCCTTTAACAGAGTCAGAAATGATGGCTTGAAGTAGATTTTAGCTTCAGAGTTAAAGAACCCTGCCTACTCTTGATTATGGTTATAGCTGCACAAGTTACATTTATCTGTTTCTTTATTATTTATCTCCATCTTTCTGCTTTACCATGGGAGGTATAGTGATGTTCAGGAAGAAATATCCATATTTAAAACTGGCTTTGGTTTTATGAAACACGCTAACATGGAACAACACTTGAACCTACTGTAGTTAAATCAGTGTTTTTAATTTAACCCATTATCAACATTCTTATTCTTTTCTGCTAAAAGACAACTAACAAAACTAATCGCAAACTGTAACAGTTGATAGTCCATAATCTATGGGTATTCCAGAAAAAAATCTAGTAAAAGCCTTGCTGAGTTAAACCAAGGGAGCATCTAGTCCAACAATCTTGCACTCTTGATTTTTAAAGTTCTTGTTTCTCTTTGTTTTTGTTATTCATTTTCCCACTGCAATCACCAGGTTCCAGATACTTATAATTGAATAATCTACTATCTGCCTGTACCCTGGAAAATATATTTTTTATTAAAGAGATCGTATCCAGTATTAAGATGAGGGTCTCTAGAAGAAAATTCTCTATTTCATTTGATTACATATCAATGCATATTCATAGTTAATCTAATTAATTCTATAAATGAAATCATAATTAGGGAATGGATAGCTAATAGACATTCCATACCTGTGTGATGTATTCAAATTCAATGACGTACTCTGGCAAAACAAGCTCATGATCAAACACAAACCATTCACACTGTCGGAGGCTACAGTCACAATTCTTGCATTCCACAGAAGAACATGATTCGGAAGCTAAGGAAAAAGACACAATATGGTTCTCTTGTTTATTTTTACTTTTATACAGACAATGTAACTTAGAAGAGGTTAACGGGGGTATTTTTAATAAAATTCAAAGAATCCCTAGATAAAAACTTTTACATATTATCTATTACATTATACATAGATACATAATGTAATATTAATATATATAAAGTTTTATAAAATTATAAAATACATAGTAATTAATGCCTTACAGGTAAAATTAAGAAAAGACTTAAGACTTAAGAAAACTAACAGAGTGCCTCAGGATGCATACAGGTAAAATTAGGAAACAGTGCCTCGAGATGCATGCTGAGCTTCCGAAGTTGTTTCAAAATTTTGAAGCTCACCATATAAAAATGCTTCTAAAGTTTCAGTATCTAGGATTCCCAAGGTCTTTTCAATGCTCACTCAAGATATTTGAAATTGTTCTGCCATAACAGAACCAGTACTTGAAAAAAATCTTGGTGAACTATTTCCATATTATAGCCTGTTTCTGTCTATTTTCTTAAATGCAGCCAAGAGTAGGCCACTCTTAGGACTGTTTATCCTGACTAAAGTAACTGTAACCAAATTTCAGGATACTGAAGACTGGGCTGAAAATATATTGTAAATGCCTTTTGGGGTCTCAGTTTGAATTTATTAGGCATATGTTTGATTAGATTGCCACCTGGTGGTTGTTCACGTTCACACTGTACTTCCTTCTTAGGGAGGAAGAGAAGTTTATCTTTTCAAAGCTTTTGGAAATATGCAGTGTTGTCTTCATATTCTTTTAATAATAAATCTTTAATCACAAGGTGTAGAAATGGGTAAACTGAGGGACACTTATCTAATTCGGAAAGAACAGAAAAGTCCTAGAAATTATTGTACAATGTTGATTCCACTGCCAAGTTCTCCAACTTAAAAATAAGAACAATTTCCAAGTCTTTGCATACCTGCACAAATCAATCAATCGTGCTTATTATTAATTTTCAATACCAAAACATCTTGAAGAAGCTGTAGAGATGGAACTTCACCTGGAGTCACTAACTCACATTTGACTTTGTCTGGTTCCATAATCCCGTTGGTGGATGTATAAGGGCTGTTTTGAGATGATCTGCGAGGTTTGTATACACTATTGATCCCAGGATAGTTGGCTGGGGTGACTGTATCTATATCATGGGCTCCAGCACTATGCCCAAGAAAGACTTTGGCAATTATAAGTTTCCCTGAGAAATGAATAAAAGCTCTTATTTATAAACTCAATCTATTGGAATTCTAATGGAAAGTTCCAAACAAGTGAAATGAAACAAATCAAACTGCATAATAAAAAGGTGTTTAAAAAGCTTCCTACTTCTAACTTCAATCAAAATGTTAACATATATTTTAGCATTATTAATATGTGAAACGGTAAGCTATTCAACACAGTTTCCAGAACCACCACCGTAACTTACATTTCTAACTTGGGCACAAATCAATATAGACTTTCAAAAAAAACAGTCAGTTGGAAGACATGAGGCCATAAATATGTACACACCTTGCTAAATCCTGTTTCCCTATGTTAGAATTTGAGTTCATTCACTGAAACTAAATGCAGGGAGATTCAGGATTCACAGAAAAATACTAATTTTACATAGGTAAGCTATGAGATTCATTCCAGCAGTCACATTAATGGCAACCAATTTGGATGGTACTAAAAGCTGATTGAACTGTTCAGGGAGGATCAATGGCTGCTATACAGGAAATCCTTGGTTAACAACTACTCATTCAGCAACCATTTGAACTAGCAATGACACTGAACAAGTGGTAACCATGACTAATCCTCAAAGTTCCAGTCATTGCAGTGCCCCTGCAGTCATATGATCCAGATGCTCAATAACTGGTCCAGTTTTCTGACCATCACAGCATCCTGTGATTGCATGAATAATGTGGGACTTTCCCTCCCAGCTTCCCATAAACATAGTCAAATGGAGAAGCCAGCAGTAAATTGGAAGTTCTGATCATGTGTGGTCCTCGCTTAATGATCCTGGTGATTAGCTTAATAACAGGAACAGGAATGCTTGAGATGATGTCCCTAACAGTGAAACATTGCTTAGCAACAGAAATTTCCATAATTAAGCCAAGACTCCCTGTACTGATGGCTTACGATCTCCCGAAGTACAAGGTGCCATGCTCTCAGTACTAATTTCTAAGAAACCACACTGGAAAAAGGGTATTGCCCATTGGTTCTGTAACTTCTAACATGCATCTAGGTTGCCACTGGGTGGTATAGATATCTGTGGCATGATCAATTGGACTTTTCTTATATGATTCATTTGTTATTAGATTCATACCCCATCTTTATTTTGCACAACTCCAGACAGTGTAAACCAGTGGTTCTTAACCTTTTTGAAAGAATCACCCCCTTGAGCCATTGAAGAAGTTATCATCACCTCCCCCTCCCCCAACATAACCTCTCAATCACAACACAGGGAAATAATTCTTCAATTTATGCAAACACGTTTTTTGTTTTCTTTAAAATTGTCATTAGGACATATCGATGCAAATAATTTATTTCGTCTTTTTCCCATATCTCAACTGTGTGAAAAATTCTGATGCCACCCATCACTTTACTCCCAAACTTCGTGATAGATGTATTTCATTATTATCTTATTTATTCAAGACACTTAAATGCAATGACCACTGAAAACAAAACTCAATTGCAAGAAAATGAAATGCCCGAAAAAAACAGTAACATTTAATGATTTAATTACAAGTGAATTTTAAGATGCAAAAAGAAATATAAAAAGGGCATAAGAACAAACCTCAATGCAAGAACTAAGAATTTCAAGATGAAAACTCTGAAACTAAATTAAGATTTGAGGAAAATATATATTCATGCACACTGTAAAAAGGGTTAAAAAGACACAAAGAAATTTTTTACAGAAGGAAAGCAACAAAAATCAGAGCGACCAATGTAATGCCTAAACTGAAGAAAAATATATATCTACACAAAAAGTTTACAGGAAGAGCACAACAAAAAAAATTGAAACCATAAAACCGAGAAATCAAAATATAATATTGAACTGGAGTGCACGCTAAAAAAGTACAATACAAAGAGATACACAAAATGTTTTACAGAGCACAACAAGAATTCGAAAATGAAGCCGAAAACTCAAACCGGAACGTGAAATCCATTGCAAGCAAATACAATGATAAGAGCTGAGACAATTATTAACGAAGAAAATGTATGTACACAAAAAGCAAAAAAAGAACATCAATGGCTGCCTTGTGCTTGGTGAGCTGATGCCAATTTCTTCATGTCTGGAACCATTTTTGTTAATCTCATTCTTAAATCGCCGCGCTCAGTGATCTTCAATATGTTCCTTGACTTAGAAAGGATCTGTTGGATGGCACTGAAGCCCCTCTCCACTAAGTAAGTGGAAGGAAAGGCTAAAAGAAGCAACTTAACTTCCTCCCACAATATTGGATAAGTGTTCCTCATTTTCACCCAAAAAGCTTTGTAGCCGTAACTCTGAAAATGTGATTGGGCTTCATAGTCGCATTTCAGATCTGTCAGTGGCTCTTGCAGTTTGGGATGAGGTTGTGCAAAGGATTTAGCACCCAAGTGGACACTTCCAGATTTATCAGATCATAGAATCTGTTTTCCATATCTTCTTTTAGTTGATTCAAGTGGCAGCAAAAAACGTCCAAACCTTCTGCTTGGAGTTGACGTTCATTACCAAGGCTTGGGAACTGATAGAGCTCCTGGCAACTCATATTGCTTGCAAGGAGGTCCAATTTGGAAATAAATGAGCAGATTACTCCTTTGGCCTTAAGAAAATTGATTTTATCTCCTTGCAGCTTTACATTCACTTCATTCAGCTTGTCAAAAACATTAGCGAGATAAGCTACATCCAGATGTCGAAGTTTAAGAGAACTGCTTAGACTTGGATCAATGGATTCAAGAAATTCGATAACTGTGTCAAAAAGTTTGTGGAATCGCTGCAAACACTTTCCTTTTGAAAGCCACCTTACTTCCATGTGCAAAAGGAGACATTCAAACTCCTCGTCATTTTCTTCACAAAGCTTGTGAAAAAGTCGGTTGTTCAAGGCATTCGACTTAATTTTATTCACAGCGTTAATGACTTAACGTATAGACTCGTGCAAACGGCCACTCAAACAAAGCGCTGTCTATGAACAACACAATGGACAATCATAACTCCAGGTACAACCGATTTTAGATGAGCTTGAAATCCACGATATTGTCCAACCATGGATACAGCTCCATCGGTTGCACATGCCACAACGTTTGTCAAAGGGATGTTTTTCTCATTAGAAAACTCTTCAACCTTTTTAAATATCGAAGAACCTTTTGTGTTGGTGGCTAAATTTCGAGCAAATAACAGTTCTTCCCCGATCTCTTCATTTCCGTTGATGAAACGGACATAAGCCAATAACAAGGCTTCATTTTCACGAATTGTTGACTCATCAATCTGCATCACGAATTCTGTGCTTTTCAAGGTGTCAATAAGCCTTTCTTCCACATCAGCAGCCATTTCATCAATTCTTTTTGATACGGTGTCATTGCTCAAAGGAATCGATTGTGTGACAGTGCTTGCACAGGGCCCCAACATGGTGGCAACAATCTATTTCACTGCTGGTAAAAATCAGCATTTCTCCAATAGTGTGAGGTTTGCCACATTTTGCTATCAACAAAGATACTTCATAGGAACAAATGAGCCCCTTGTTGGTGTTGAGTGACGATTTTCCAAATAACTTCTCAACAGTGCTGCAACCCTCAAACTTGGCCTTTAAGGATTGGAAAAACGATACCAGGTTGTCGCCTTTATCCAAATGAATTCTTACCAAATGGTCTTTCAGTCGGGAAGGCTCCATCGCTTCATTTGAAAATGTTTTCTCACAAAGAAGACAAAACGAAAGCTGTACGTTGGAAGGAGATGGAATGAATCCCAATTTTAGGTATTCTGTCGAATATTAGCGATACTTCCTCTTCTTGGCCATGTTGAGAGGTCTTCGAAATGAAAGGCACTAAGTGCACATTAAATTTTCGACTGCACTGGAACACTATGAAACACACGTGGACGTCAATAAACCTAGGTTCAACAGTTACGTTGACATCACAGGGGACAGCTACTCAGCATGCGATGTTTTGAAAGAAGCACTCACCCCTCCATCACTGCCCATTCTGGCCAATTTTGGCGCACCACTGTATGGGTACAGTGATAGAGGCTGCTGTGCAACGTGCATGAAGATGAGTGATGCGTATTCACATACGTACGGAGTTCTGTACTGAAGCTAGCTGGAGGAACATTTTAAAACACAGTTCAATCCACTAATAGCGAGTGATCTGATGTTTTTGTATGACAGATATACAGCGGTTCACTGTACGAAAAAAGTCTCAAAACTGTCCCCAAAACTTCTCGCTCCATTGCCCCATATTGCCCCCCCATCTGTTCCTTCACCCCCGTGTTGCCCCTTTTCATTCCATCGCCCCCCTGAAAAATGAAATTGCCCCTGGGGGGGGGAATATCGCCCAGGTTAAGAACCACTGGTATAAATAATGCACCACTGGGTACTCCACCATTATTAAAATCTGCATACCAGTTGTACTACCATATTTTTCACTCCATAAGACACACCTCACCATATGATAAACCTATGTTTAGAGGAGGAAAACAAGAAAAAAAAAACCAGGCAGAGCCTGAGAGGACCACCGATAAGTGTCCTATCATGTGCCAGCTGTGCCTATTGACTCCTGCAGTGTGGAAAAGAGACAGAAGAGGCGGGCAATGACAAAGACAGAAGAGACGGGATTCAGCACTGTAAAAGGACCCCGCCACTGCGGCCTGGCTATTCACCAAAGGACTGGCACCAACACAAAGACATTTCTACCCACTTTTTTTTGGGTGGGATTGTGTCTTTTGGAGCAAAAAATACAGTAATTAACGGAATCTATACCGAGTCTTGGATGCATTTATTTATTTAAAATAATTATTATATCTATGTTTAAATACATACAGCAACATCTTAAACGTTACCATATCTGATTGACTCCTCAAAATCTTCTTTACTTTGGGATTGTTTTTGCAGGTTTTCTATTCTTGGGTGTTCACAGATACTTAGACTGTTGGAGAGCAAAAGGACTCCATTTTCCTAAAACAAGAAAAAAACAAAAACCAACAGCTCACTAATCTGAGTGATACTGCCTCACACAGAGCTTTCCAAATATTTAATTAATAGTTTTAAAATTAACAAGTGTTATGAGCATGTGGAACAGATAAGTAAGCACAACAGAAGAGTAGATGAGAAAACTGACAAATGTTAGATTACAGATTGTGATCTTTCCGTTTGTAACACGTCTACATTAAAACTGAAAATAATGTACTATTGACTAACCAATTCACTTCCTTTATTTTTCTCTCTTTTTTTAAGGGACAGATTTCTAGCTTTTATGGCACTAACATGCAGAAAAATAAGAGTTGGGAGGGACCTTGGAGGTTTTCTAGTCTAACTCCCTGCTCAAGCAGTCCAGTCCAGATTTATCAATTGTATGACTTTTTGCAGCGCTTGTTAAGCAAACATTGCAGTTTTTAAGTGACCACAGCAACTGTTAAGCAAATCAATGCACTCCTATGGGTGTTTTTGTTTTTGTTTTTGCTGGAAACTGGCTAAAAAGGTAAAAAAACATTATAAAAAAACATTATAAATCATTGCAAAAGGCTGTAAAGGAGAGCTAGTTATCAAGCTACCCAAAATGTGGGGTCATATGATTGTGTGTATGTGTGTGTGTGTGTGTGTGTGTGTGTGTTCGCGTGCGCATGCGCACGTGTAGCTATCAAAACTCCAGAATTCGGTCATAAGTAGCTTTTTTGGGGGGAGGGCAATGTTGAATGGCTGTTAAGTGACTTGTTGTAAGTCAAGCAGTATGTAGCTGCATGTGGAGAGAGACAGGGTAGTTTTGTTGCCTGATTAGTTTTATGCATTTAACTATCACAAGATAAATATGTAAAAAACAGGAACTGCATAATTTATTAAAACAACAAAAATCTGCTTTTTTAATGCACACAACTGGAATTTCCTAGAGGCATAATTGTTTTAAATATAAATAATATAAAAATTCTCAAGAATGTGTGGAATGGCAGAAACCTCCTTGAGACCACACCATTTCATAAATAATGTGAACGTTACCCAATATAAAACAACACTTAGAAAGCCTACAGAAAGCTATGAAAGTATTTTGGAACAATGTTATTATTCAATAATGTTTCAATTTTTCCATATAGGAAGACATTTTGTTTCTTTTTTATAAAGAAAATACGAACCTATCCTTTATCAGTCCTTATCTGCACTGTTTCATGATGCATTTGATTATTCAGATATTTTTTTATAAAATGCTCCCTAATAGGAAGACATAAACAGGAAAAAAAAAAAAGAAAGTTATGTCCTTACTGTTTTGGAACTTCTACTTACTGTTTTTGCTTCCTGAAAACCTTCTTCCAGAATTTGAATTAATTGCTTTTTATTCAAGGGTATTTCAGGGGGAGATACATAGAAGAGGTACTCCAACATCTTCTTGAAGTTTCTGAAAGGAAAAGTGGAGACATGAAGAGAAAGAACACATTTTAAAAACAAATTTTTGAACCGTCAGGGGCAGAATAATTAAATCCTTGACTCAGTTATTCTGCTAGAAAAGATCAAGGTTCACCTGATTTATTATCCTGTCTTATACCAAGGCTTCCTACAAATGATAACGTTCCTTCCTTGTTTGTTCCGAGTTTCTGATCCACAAGAAGGCATTACGGTATTACCATGGCTAATAAGTATTCATAAAGCCATCATCATCATCATCATCACATCTCTCCTAGGTGGAGCCAATATTTGTCTTGGACTCAACCAAAAGCTACTTGGATATTCCACTGGAAGCCCCTTCAAAAGAGGGCTTCCCTTTTTGCCACCCCACACCGTCTCTCCCAACACCTGAACCAACTGTTCAGGCAAATGGGATGTGGGCCAGAGGAACCAATGACTGGAAGAGGAAGAAAGTAAATGTTCCACAGGCAGAGAGAAGAAACTGGGAAGAAACCTAAGGCAGCTGAAGATCAAGAAGAAATCTACAAAAGGGTAAAAATGAGAGCACAGGATTGGTAAAATGGTGGCAAAACAAAAACTGGAAAAGAATGAGTTAAGAAGGATTGACAATAGCAAATTTGGCAAGGCAGGAAAAGGTATCAGCATTCCTAAGTTGTGCTGTAAATAAAGGTGGGAGGAGGGGGAAAGGAGCAGCTAGCTTTTTGAATCATGAAGGAAAATTAACACCAGAAGTTTGAAATGTTTAATTCTGTTAGTATACTTTTAGGAGAATTCGGTTAGTGTACTCACTTATAACAGATGCCTAGTTGTTAGGTACACAATTACTGGCCATTGAAATTATTATAAATGTACTTTGCTTTAAGCTTGTACAGTAATAAATATCACCGTCATTCACTTTTGTGTGGATATATATTGCTTCCTTCTTATCTGTACTAATCTTCTAACAATATCAAAATGAAACAAACATATAATTAACCTTCCTTTTGAATGAAAAGCAACTTGAAGAATGTTTAGCCAGGAAACACTGTTTTAGAGAAAAGTTTAAACATTCATTCCCTCACATTTCTCTGTTCAGAATTGTTCCCATCTAAAGATTCATATTTCATTTTTACAATCACACACAATCACACCTTCACATAAAGATGCACATAATACATAAGAAGAACTTAAGCGGGTTTTTTAAAGGAACGTTTCTAGCACGTCTCCAGATTTCCCCATCATCTATGATATGACAAGAGGCTTGAAGGCAAAGCAGCTTTTTAATGTGCATTTCAGGTTTAAAATGCTGCCCTTGAAATTCATCTGACAATATTTGAATGTTTTTTTATTTATTTTTTAATTTAAAAAACTATTTTTTTTTTAAAACAAGTTTTATTAATTTTTAAAACACACAAATTATCATTATTCATTACATGTTTAAACCTTTTTCCCTTGTAAATTTAACAAGTCAGATAAATTATGATTCTGTTTTAAACCATTTCCATATAATATACCAAAACCTCTTATTCAATTTCTCTTTACTTCTCTTTACTCTTATTCAATATCATTATTATTATTTCATCTGTTTCTTTCTGACTTAGTTACCATTATTCTCATTCTATATTTCTACAAGTTTTTACCAATTCTCCCCCCAAAAAAGACATATACACACAACACACAAAACATAAAAAAAGTATCTTTTTGGAAAGTAACTTGGACCCAGGTGTCTCTGTCTTCATGGACTTCAATTATATTCATGCTCATCTTACATATCATTACTTATTTTATTTACCATTCTAAGCCTTCTATATTAACTTCTCCACATATTTCACACTTCTTAATTCTACCTTAATTAATCATCTTAGTTTAAATCATTATATTTGTATCTTTTGTCCATTTTTTATCATCCCTTTGTCTCATCCCTTATGAAAAAAAAGAAAATCAGTTTCTCCTGAAATCATTAATCAGAGTATGATGCCTTTCTATCTCCCCCCTAAATTAATCAAATTAATCTTTAAAATAATATCTAATACCCAATCAGATTTTGCTTGGTACATTCTATCTAACTAATACATCCAACACAATTAAGTGCATAATTAGAGAATAAATCCAAATATTAAAAAGAAATACTATAATAAAAATTTTATAATAACATCAATACCATAATTTTATTAAACTCTTTAATTAAAACAATATTCTAAACCTCTCCTATTATTAAGTTTTAAAACCAATCATTTTTAAACATTTTAACATTTTAATCTCTTATCAACTCTTAAACCATTGCAATACTACCATCTCATCTTATGTACCTTGCAAAATCTTTTTTTTTTTAAAAAAAATTATACTTTATCCATTATCCATAAAAAATTCCTTTTTTCCATTTAATTTCAAAACGTTGTAGCTTTTCTCCACCTTTTCCCTTTCTTTCTTTTCCCAACAAACCTTTCTACCCCCCCTTCTTCTAGCCTCTGCCTTACCGGCTTCCCTTCTCTGTCGTATTTCTTTTCCCCTTTGTTTACAATCATCATATTGGTTTTGCACTTTATTTTTCCCTTTCTTAAATGTTTTTTTAGATCTTAAGTCCTTAAATCCTTTAGTTTTCTTCTTTTCTCTTCTTTTCTTTTCTTTCTCTCTTCCTTTTTTCTGGATCAAATTCTGAGATTCATTAAAGATGGCTCCTTCCTTTCTTTCTTGTTCCTCTGCTGTCTTCATCTGTTGTAATTTTTGTTGATAATTAGTAAGCGCCATTTCTAAGAAAAGGAAAGCTTCTTCCACACCATTTCTTAGTTCCTCAACAGAAAGAGCCATTATAAATCTTTTCTTTTCTTTTCTCCTTCTTTCTTCTTACAACAACCAGAATATTCAAAAGAAAATAAAAAAGATAAAACAGTCCCAAAGTTATCAATCAGTCCAAACCAAGGCAGAGTTCTCACTTTCTCCTTCTGGGGTAATATCAATCAAAGAGAAAGAAAGTCCAAATCTGTTTAAAGTCTTGTTACAATATATTCTAGTCTTCAAATCCTTAAGGCATCTGCTCCAACAAATCTTAGCATACAAATATTTTCTTTTTAATCCTCTCTCTTCCCACTCATCGCTTAAAACCAATTTCCACCTAAAAAAATAGGTTTCTTAATATCCAGTTATTTATTCCGTAGGAAAAGAGGGAAAGCTATCCTTTCAGCACCTTCAAGCAGCCGCTTTTTTCCTCTTCTGGCAGGTATTATTCAGAAAGTCATACTTTTCAGGAATTTTATTAAATATGTCTTAGAGTCCTAGGAACCAAGAAAAACTTTCTCCTCTCAATCACTTTCTCCACTTCCTCCTGCGCATTCTTACCCGGCTGCCAGCTTCTTTGTGGCGGCCATTACGGACCGCCGCTGCACCGTCCTGGGAAAAGGGGGTTCTGCCGGCCAGGGAGGGGGTCTGCAGCACCCCCAAACCCTTCTCCGGATCCCCCCTACCTTCAGCTGCCCCTGCAGGGCAGCCTAGCTCCGTACCCGGCTGGGTCGGAGCCCCAAAAACGGCTAGCGCGGCAGGGATCGCGCAGCTTCGCAAATACCTGCCGCTCGCGAAGCCGACAAACCGGAAGTTTTCTAAAACTATTTTTTTAGTTTTATCCAAAACTAAAGTATATTTTAACATTTTTTTCAGATTGCTTTTTATTTTACTTTTATAAAATGTAGAAATGCTAATGTAGGAATTCCTTAATCACCCAATACTAAAAATCTTACATAGTAAACTTTTTAATAGTCTTCCAAATAGAAATAACTAACTTTTCACACAATATTTTTATGAACCAAAGCCCCTGCACCTAATGAGGCAGTAGCTAGCTTGCAGTCCATGCTAGTTAATGAAAAAATAAATTGTTACTCCTATCAAGTGCCTCAAGCTTGATAGGAGTAATATATTGATTTCCGTATATTCCTACATTGGGTATTCTTTACCTCTACTGTTCATTTTCATTAATTTATTTAGCAGGTTCATCAAGTATATTGGACTGAGTTGAGGAGCAGCCATATGCCAATGAAGAATGTTACGGTAGTGTTTCTGAGTTAGCAGCATCATTTCTGATAGCATAATAAGAACCCTTCCTATTTTTATTTCCTGTGATAAAACAATCAAAATTGCAGGATAACAGAGTTGGAAAGGACCTTGGAGGTCTAGTCCAATCCCCTCTGCTCAAGCAGGAGACACTAGACCATTCCAGACTGGCTGTCTAGTCCCTTCTTAAATGCTTCCAATGATGGAGCACCCACAACTTCAGAAGGCAGGTCTTTCCACTGGTTAATTGTTCTCACTGTTAGGAAATTTATCCTTAGTTATGGGTTGCTTCTCTCTTTGATTAAGTTTCCATCCATTGTTTCTTGTCTTACCTTCTGGTGTTTTGGAAAATAGGTTGATCCCCTCTTCTTTCTGGCAGCCTCTCAAATATTGAAATGCTGCTATCATGTCAACCCTGGTCCTTCTTTTCACTAGGCTAGACAGACCCAATTCCTGCAACTGTTCACATGTTTTAGCCTCCAGCCCATAGGATTTGCATCCCTTACACTATTCCTATTCCAGCTCATAATATGCTTTAACTGGTGAAATGCTTGATTATGGTGTAAACATTAATAGGAAGCAGATTACTGGATGACCAGATAAACAGAAACCACCTAAATTTCAAGCCTCATATCAGACCTCTAAAATAACCACACAATTAATAAAATCACAATATATTCCTACTCTCACATGTAATAATATTGTGTTGAATGGATCCTTACAGTAAGTCCACTGCAATCTGAACTCACTTTTCAGATAGATAAGTTTATTATGCAGACAATGCACTCAATAAAAGCACAAAGAAGCATAGGCCGATTAATTATCTTTTTTTAAATTAATTTTCTTTAAAATCAACTCACATGGATTCATTTAACTCTTCTTTATCCAAAAATTTTTGGAATTTTTCCTCAAAAGTCAGCCTCAAAATCCGGTTGTGCACCCTAATGACACGATTTACTTTCAATGCAGTGATGCCATATATTTTGAAGTCCCAGGCACAAAATCGGGATAAAATCAATTCATAGCATGAATTAAACCTGTGGTTAAGAAAGAGGACTTGAGTCACTATAATTACTCAATAGGAAGGTACCCTGCCCAAATAGATTAGACAAAATTTACAAAAACCTCTCCCTCCATTAATTACATTACAATAAAGTCTAAGACTATTGCTCAATTTGGAAGATAATTACTGTTATTTTCAGATAAAAACAGCAGGAAGATTCCTCAATATTTTCCTGAAAAAAACAGTATCTGTGAGAAAGTAGCTGAAATTTATAATTAATTTGCATTTTATTTACTTTCAAGCGTTCAATACCTTACACTAAATTTATATTCCTTTATTTTGAATGCAGTAGATTTGAGCACAAAACGTAACAGGGAAAGCTGCCTTCCAGCAAATCAGACCATTGGTTCATCTAATACTGATTACAATGATCAACAACATTAACCTTCAGAGTTGAAAACTGATCTTGGCATGCTTGTCTGAAAACACTTGTAACTGAACCCAAGATATTCGGCTATAGATACTTTTTCTATCCCAGTTTTCTCAGAAAAAATTGCTTTCCTTTAAATGAAGTAAACTAGTAATTATTGCCATATATATTATTTGAAGTAAATTACTTCTTGGAAAAAAGTTGTATATGTTATCTAACAAAAAGGTCTGGGTGGCCACATCCATCATAATTATATACAAGTTGTCCTCACCTTACAACTGTTCATTTAACAATGGTTTGAAATCATGATAGCCTCAGAAAATTGAGTTATGACCCATCCTTCAAGTTACGACACTTGCATCATCCCCCGTGGTCACAATTCATATTTGCATTTATGATGGTTGCAACATCTTGCAGTCACAAAATTGTGATATGCAAACTTGCCCATCAGCTTCTGACAAGCAAAATCAATGTGGAAAGCTGCATTTACTTAACAACTATGTGATTCACTTAACAACCATGGTAAAAACAGTTGTAAAATCAGTCTATTCACATAAGTTATTTGGGCTTGGTTGTTTTCTTGCAGACATTTCATTACCTAAACCAGGTAACATCATGATAATTTGCTTTATAACTGCACTGACTTATGATGAAAATTCCAATCTCAATTGTGCTTATAAATCAAAGACTACCTGTACAGTATTTGTTCCAAGTACAGACTATAGTAGTGATAAACCAGCAATGTGATGTCTATGTGAGGTGCTGTAAAGGAGTGAATGACAACCTGTAGAGTACTCCAAAGCTGTTATTTGGTACGTTAACGTTTACTGAGGGAGACATGGCAGAGTAGAAGAATGTTGGTATAGTAGCAATGCAATTTATTGCTTTATTGCATTTTGGAGGGGTTTGCTGTACAATACATATTGTACACAGCTGCATACTATTTTCCGCTTCCTTGTGAATGGGGATTTCCCTTTTTTTGTTGAAATCAGTCTTTTCCCATATATTATAAGTAAGTCTATGGTAACTATATCTGAATCTCTCTATAATGCTATCTAGGTAGCAAAACAAGGATGAATTACAAGCTAGATTGAGTGGCATACAGAGTTCAAGGAAGGGAAGATTTATATCCTGCTTTTTGCTCCGAAGTGATATTTAGAGTAGTGGTCAGATGCAAAAGACCAGGATCACATGGGAAGTTCCAATTTCGAAATTCCAGATTTACTGCTTATGCCTACGGACAGGAATATTCTCCATTAATGTTTAGCACCTGCTAAAACTTAGATAAGAGTCATGATAATTCATAGGAGGTTGGATTTAGGATGCTTATAGCTATGTAGAAATTCTAGGCTGATCCCCTTTTTGACACCGCCCACAGGCTCTACCATTTCTTCTCTTACAGCTGTTCACACTTCATTTACTTTTTGATTGACCAAGAGTATCTCTCTGAATTAACCACATTTGTTTTCCTTTATTTAGTGTAAATTTCCTCTCTTGTTTTCTGTTCAAAATATTCAGTTTCCTTAAATTATAGGTTGTTATGATGTCCCAACTGCCAAGACTCTATATGGAACATAAAAAGTTGTATTTTAGAAGCCACTGGGCCACTACATTTCTTATTGCTGAGACTGACTTGCTGTCAGTTTCCCTGTTTTTAGACAGCCAATAGCATATAAATATATCATGCATGCTCCACAGCCAGTGGCCTCAACCTCTTCTACTCCTGATGCTTAGTTGGAGCCATTAGAACACTGCAAGATTGAAGATTAAAATTTTAGAATATTGCAAAACAACTGTACCAAACATCATTTGGTGATCCCTCTTCAAATCGTGTGTTTCCCACAGATTCCAGTTCAGTAAGCAAAAACTGTACTGCCAAATTGCTGGTTTTCTTCTTCTTCTTGACTTCCACTTGATAAATAGTTTCAATTCTGCAAAAAATACACAGGATACATCATAGCTGAAGATTCACAGTGAATGGCAAAGTGCAGAAAAAAGCAATGATCTGAAGAACTAGACAGCAAGCTTTATGAATATGCAGAACCTCAGAGCCAAGGAAGGTCCTAATGGTTTTTTTTTTCTGACTTTCCAACTTTACCCTACTAAAACACACGTATCTGTCTTATTTAACTTATTTAACTTAAACAGATACAGTGGAAACACAACCAGTATTCAGTTTTTATCAAGTGCTCTGCAAGAACCAAAAGTGTACCTGCACTCCATTGCATGTATAAAGTTGTTATGATAAAAGAATAAGCAGATTAAGGATGGTGTTATTTAAAGAAATCCAGGACTTGTCAAAGTTCAATGTTACTCCCAGCTAAAATAAATGTATCCCTGTACCTGCAAGAAATGTAATCCTGAATTTTAGGCTATTCATGCATCCCTGAAATTATCAACCTTACTCATCACATTCCATTTTTCAGCAAATGGAAGACAGTCCTCCCATTACAGAGGAGAATTATTTGTGGAAACACCCACTTTCCTTTCAGGTAAATACAATATTTTTGCTTTCATCATCACGTTAATGTCCCAACAGAAACTATTTCAGAAAAGAAGAAATGTTTTTTTTTCCTTAGAAGACCCCTGACATATATTAATGTAAAAATATGTAATGAAAATCATTCATGTAAAAAACAACAACAACCCTGCAAGCCTTCCAATTAGGAGGACTTTTTAACTGATGAAAGAATTTTGTTCAGTTAAAACAAATCTAAATATTGAGTACTTTTAAAAGAAGTACTGAGATTAAATGATTAAACTTTCTCATTTAGGTTCTAGATATTCAGTATTGAATTTATATAGACATAGCCTTTCAAGTCCTAAAATCCTACTTTATACTTTATTTCAGTAGAGAGAGACTTTCAAGTCCTACTTTATGGATTTCTTGAGTACTTTTCTCCTTCCTACAAATTCCTTCACAATGACAGCAGAGCATCCTACCTGCCTCTTCCAGAGGACAGGCATGTGTGAAGAAACTGAGGACTAGCATGCAATCCCCAAGCCCAAAGTGGATCTTATCTCAAGCAATGAATTCAGTGTCTTCAAGTCCCAAACCTGTTCAAACAGCAGCCCTTGCACCTTTCACAAGATGTACATACTCCTGCAGTTTCTTGTTCCAGAAATTTATTCTTCTTTTGAGGGCATCTAATTTATGAAGAAATAGTTGCTCCAGACTGGATTCTTCTGGGGTCTCATCTGGACTCTCCACTTCCCCATCTGATTTTTCATATTCAAAGTTCCAACTTGAAGTAACTTTACTAGTTTGTATTCTACCACTTGCTTTAAGTTCCATCAATTCACGTTCCAGCTTTTTTAAGACAGAAAGCAAAAGCAATGGGTTAGTTTGATTGAAATGTATGAAGCATATGAACATTTATTGAAAAGCTAATGCCCAAAATGGTATAAACAAAATAATGTGCAAAAATAGGACAAGAAACAGTACATGTGTTTTGTTGCACATCATAAATAAGAAAATATTTCAGTTGTTATTCCACAATGAAGAATAAAATGTTATTCCACAATGAAGAAGAAAAATACTACAACATTTAGAGCAAAAGTATGCAATAGACACACATTCTAAAACTATATCTAATATCCATCACTTAATTATTTAAAAAAAAAACCAGTCATGTAAGGTCATGTAGATTGTGATGCAGAGGAGGGAGGGAGAACTTTTTCCTTCAGATACACTTTCAATGCAAAAATGTCTCTTCCCAAGTATTTGCTTCCACAAAAACAAATTGGACTTTTAAGGGCAATAGGCAACGAGAGTAGTGAGACTAGTCAGCAAATAAAAATCAGAAAAAGGAAATAATTAATTTCCCTTCTCCTTTTATACTGTGGTATTGCTCTGTTTTGGGACTCCACGTTGATACTTTTTCTGGGATAGTTTGCTAAGACAAATTTGAATTTTGCTTTAAAGACTTAGTAAACATGTATTACGATGTACTGATTTATTGACCAATTGCAAAGCGGAAGTATGTTTCAGAAACACTCCAAATTCTATTCCGTTGGGTTGTATTTGGAGTTCAATATTAAACCAGGAAGACTCAGCAATTTGCTCAAATATTATGCATGGTTTTATTTATTAATTATTTATTAAATTTGTATGCTGCCTCCTTCCCTTATGAGGAACTCTGGGCAGCATTTTTTTATTAAGTATTATTAGTGTTGTTTGTCACTCAGTCAGCCAGATGTTTGGACTGGACTTGCCATTTTTGTCACCTATCAAGTCCTTCCTAAGGGCCTGTGATTATTATTAGTACTATTTCGATTAAATATTTCATGTTATGAGACTGGATTAGTCTATAAAATAATTTCTTTTGTAGTTATTTATTTGATTTCTATAGCCACCCATCTTCTGACTCTGGGCAGGCTATATCATAAAAACATAATAAAAAATACAAAATAAATATATATGGTTGCCAAGTAAAACTATTGCCAAAGATATTTATATAGCCAAGAAATGGGGCCCTTAACACACTCGGAGTGCCAGATCTGGCATGAAACAAGGACTTCATAGCTATACAAAAGGCCAGATGGGTCAGAATGATCCTAATCCCATCCTAAACTCTGAAATTTTCATCCTAGGATTAAACCTGGAACATTCTGGGTTGTAAAGCCTGCACTGTACCAAGCTTTTTATTGAAGAAAGGCTCATTACTGAATTGCTGCTCTCTTACTTCTGGGGGAAGTAATTCCTACTTGGAATTTATGAATGTATAACAATAGATTGTAGGCAGGCACTTGAAACTTCAATGGTAGAATTCAAACAATAGGATTCAGCCAGAATTTACTTTGGTGATGGCAGGGTTTGCCTTTCTTACATGTTTCACATAGCAGCTGAAATGTTTGAGACGATCTTCAGGCAATTTCTGTAGTTTGTTCTTTCTTTCTCTTAGCTTTTCAAGCTCCTCATTCAGTTGTCTATGAACACTCTTGATTCGCATATTGTAGTACATCACTTTTTTCATCACAGTTGTCTTCAAAAGATAAAGGGGAAACTCAGAAAGGAGCTAAATGTTGGCATTTAAGGATACAATAATAAATTAAAAATTCTAAAATATCATCCTGCCATTCTGGGATTGTAGCCCCCAAGTTTGAACAAGTTGGACACAATATGGAAGAGCCTCTCATAGGAAAGCATTTCAATCTCCATTTTATACTTTCTCTACCTTCAGCAGGCCCATTCGCACACAGTAGTAATGCTTTCACCATTCCTTAGGGTAGATAATCTGCTCTTCTCTGGGAAGTGAATGTCCACTGCTTCTACAGCAAGCAGCTCCATATAATGATGACATCAAGAACAGTTAATGAACAAACACTAATTTATTTATCTTTTTTTTTTTTGCTGCCCATCTTGTGGTTCAGGCGACTCTGAGAGGTAACTCTGAGTAGCTATTATAAATGTATCAATTTATGGAAGAGAGGGTCACTTTCCTGCCATTCATGACTGAATCTGGGCAACATTCAAAATGCAGCCCAGGAGATAATTATTCCTGTAAGCTTTCTACATTTAGCAATAGAGATGGTCCCATTAACATAACTCTTCTCCCCTGGAAAAGGATTCTTCTGTCCTATTCAAACAACTGCTAAAATTAGGATTAAACTACGTTGGATAATCAAGAAAACCTATAATTAACTGAAATGTTTTATTAATTTAAAAAATAACCGAACATTAACATATAATTATATTATTTTTATATTATACACACACACACACACACACACACACACTTACATTTCTCAATTAGTAAGTATTACGATGTGCATGATCATATATACAAAGAAGAGGAAACATGGTTTGTTTGTTTTTTTACTCCTAGGATGGAATACTCATGTAATTAGCTAACAGTAACCTCTTTCTGTTCTGGTTCTTAAAATCTGTACTCACCTCTGCCAGCTCTTTGATTTGTTTAGAAGATACATCATAAGTGTCAAGCCTTTGAAGCAAAGGAATGTGATATAGCACATGTGTTGCATAATTGCAAAGGTGACAAACAGGGTTAGCTTCATACTGGGGGTCATTCAAACACAGGTCTGTTAAGAGAGGTAATCTTGCCAAATTGGTAATTTCCTTTGCAAAAGAAAAAAACGAAAAAGCACCACTTTCAAATATATCTAATATCAAGAACTATTCTAGGCTTCACCATTTAGATAAAACCTGCAGAAACCTAGGAATAAAATAAATTGAAATACTTCAATGTTACATTTCCTTAACAACAAATAACCTTTCTCCATATTACCCTGCTCCTCCGTGAATTGCATTGTTTGCCAATTTTGCTTCCAGGTCCAAGTCAAAAAGCTGGTGATAACTTATAAATCCTTGCATTATATGGGACTGTTTTATTTGAGGGACCACTTCTCCCCAATCATAGCTACATGTCCTATCAGGTCTAGCATGAAGGGTATAGTCTATGTCCCATCAGCCAGGGATTGTCATCTGGAGGACCCAGGAAAACAGCTTTTTCTGCTGTGCTTCCCCTTCTTTGGAACATTATCGCCCAGAAGTCAGATTGGCGCAACTTACTATACATGTCCAAGACTCTGAAAACATGGTTCTGTCAACAGACATGGGGATCCAAGAGTGTGGCACAGCTGTGCAAAGGATGTATCAATTGGTACTGATGGATATTATCTGCCTCAGCTATGAATTTTTTATAGGGTTATATGACTTTTATATGGTTTTATATTGTTTTTGTTTTTAAATTATTGTATTTGTGTTGTATCTGTATTTCTGTTTTTATACTGTTTTTGCTATGAGCTGCCCAGACATTGAGATAAGTAGCTTTATAAATCTGAATAATAAAATAGATTAATAAATACACCAATTACATCAATCAAGCCAAAGAGAAGACAACACTTACTTTAAATGAGCGTATTCTATTACCAGACAAATTTAATTTTTCAATGCTTTCACTTGGATCCAAGTGGTTTCCTAAAAGAGAAAAGGACAGAAATTATTCTTGAACTTTTCTCTCTGTTCTGGTCTTGGTTGCTATTAAAAAAAACTAAGCAAGGTCAGATCTGGTTAGCGGTTAGTCAGAAAGACACCTGGAAATGCAAGGCTGTAGGAAAGATTGAAAAAAGAAGAAAGTAGTCTCATATAACTTCTATATTGTTGCCAGGAAAAGAATATGGGTATGCCCATGGAAGAAATAGGAAAAAAGTTTGATTCAAGAATCTTTTTTCTTTCTTTCAATGATTTCTTCTGAATTATAATAACATACAAGTAAATGCAATAGAACAATTTCTATGGAAAAATAAATTTCCCTACACATGGGTAAATCTTTTAAAAAATATTGGATTGGCTTGCCAATAATATTCTATTTTCCACAATAATCAACAACTGCCTGTGGAAGTTTATGGGATGACCTGAACACAGTAGCCCTCTCCCAATGTAGACTAAGAAAGATGACTTAAATAGAGACATATAAGATCTGTTGCATCATCTTCTTTACTCTCTATACCAGGGGTGTCAAACTCGCAGCCCGCGGCCCAGATGCATCACATGCTGGTCCCGCCCTGGTTTAGCAAAGGGGGAAAAGTCCCAATATGTCACATGACACTATCATGACGACGCGAGTTTGACACCCCTGCTCTACACCCATTAATGTTCCTATGCCAATAATAATCAGAAATATGCACCTCTGATCCAGAATGGTTATGGTTCCTCTTTTGCACAATGATGTCAGTGATACAGCAACATCAGAGCCAAAGTCCATGACTTGGCCAAAACAGTTGACCGATGCCTCAAACCCAGTATCAATTTCTGGGCTGAATTAGCATGAAATAGGCTGAAATGGGATTGATGTGTCTCACAATACTTTTTTTTTCTTATTATTAGTGTCAAAACATGATGTGATTACAAATGCTTGTTATTATTTGTACATATTAAAAAAATTGGTAACAAAATGAAACTTATATCCTATTAATAGGAAACCCACTTGAAGATTGTCTTATTGTCACTAAAATCTCACCTAGGTAACCGTTAAGCTCAGCATCTAAAAACTTATCTGTACTATTGTACTGCATAGTATAGAATATAAAATTTTCATACTAATGTAAATGACAAACTACAGAGCAAGAGAAGGATTTCAAGGAAGAAAATCTGTTCACTGTTGTTTACTCCATTAGTAATATGAAAAATAACAGATATTCAGAATACAATGTTATCTTGTACCAATTTTACTAATACTGTTATCTGCAAGATTGAGTTCTTTCAGCCTCTGCAATGAAGTCAGCCCCTGTAAAAATACAGATTATTGTATTTAGAATCATATAATGTTGCAAACTGTTAAGAAATGTAGCTATTCTTTAAATACATTAGACTATGTTGCATAAAGCAAATGGTTTTGGAAAACAATTTTAAACAAAGCTGTATTTTGTTTAATTTTCTGCATGTTTCCTGAGAAGTAGGACAAACTACAACCATTAAAAGCAGGCTTTCTACAACTATTTTATTTAGATTTCTAATAATTTTATTCCTTTAATATAGCTAATAGCATTGCAATTCTGGCACTCTGTCTGAATATTGTATTATGCTTAATATTATGCTATTTTATTTTAAATTACAGTGGAGGACATCCTTTGTTCATCTATTCTAGACAGCTGAAGAGTTATTACTACTATAGAACAAGGTCCTCTTAGAGTATTATTTTCAAGTGAATATTATTTTAATCTCTGGTTGGGTGGTTATTTTATTAACTTGTTTTAGAACAGGTAATTTTAATGTTGATTGTTTAAATCTTAATTGTATCTTCTAGTTCACCATTCATCATTCCTTCAGAGGAAGGCGGGAAATGAAGAAAAAAAAAGGGAAAGGAAGACATAATAATTTGTTATAATTATTGGTGGATTGCAAAATATAATTAATCACTTGTACAACTGGGATACCTAAGATACCTAGTATTGCTGAGATCATATTTGATCAAAAAGTGCTCTTGGTGATAAAAGTGCTTCTGCAATAAAATGGAATAAAGTGAATCACCAGTTCTACTGTTTCCTACACAATTTGTAACTATTTAAATATTACCTTCTTCTCTCCCATTTGCTTAACCTTACAAAGAAGATATAGATGAGAATCAATAGCTCTTCAAAACCCAATCTTACCTGTATTTCTTTAATCTGGTTCCCATTAAGCCAAAGTATTTCCAGCTTTTGTAGCATTTCCAGATTTTCAATAATGGAAATCATATTGCAATATAGGTAAAGTTTTTTCAAAAGAACACATTTTTCCAAACCAGCAATTTTCTGCAAAGAAATTAAAGTCACTAATCAAGAAAATGCAGAATTTCCAGAAAGTTGAACAGGAGTTTAGGGGAAATGTCTTAACCACACTGACAAATTGTCATCTGAATCTGGCACATTAAGCTTTAATATCACTGTCAGCCATCTCATTAGACGGACATACACCACTATATTTTCAGAATTTCCTTTCTATACATAGACCTGGGTTCCTCCAAATACTTCTAGGATAAATAATAACCTTTAATTACTTAAAATGAACTATTACTGCTTTTAAAACGTCTTAATGTTGCAGTAGATCCACAATTCATGATTACCAACTTTTCTTCTAATGCACAAATATAAATTTGAAACAAAGGAGAAGTTAGTCTTTCCTGAATTAAATTTGATTACTGGACATTTCACAAACATGGGCATGTAATTTTTGTGACAATACAATAATAGCACAATGCTGCATTTTCAAGCAACTAAGATTTACTAGTGGTTTTCTGTCCAAGTTCTAATCAAATCTGGCCTTGCTTTTCAAGATCAACAAAAATTGAGCAGGTATTAGCTGGACAACATCAAATAATACACTGAAGGTGAGGTATGAGTTAGATCCGAAATGAATTGAGACATTTTACTTGGGCAAGACTTCTCTATCTTTGCTAAGACTACAATCAGACTTAAAATCTAAGTATACAAGCTGAAGCTTCAGAGTTGCATTCTCTCCAAAAATAGGTGAGGTCTATAAATTCATTAAAAAGTTGTGCAAAATATTATGTCTTAGAACATTCTGATCTTGGAAAAGTCCATGCTAAGGTTGGAATGGCCTGCTTTTGAATTAGAACATTCTGTGACAAAGTATTTTGCTCGCTCTATATTGCAAGCAAATCTTTTTAATGTAACAGAGAGGAGAAATTATTAAATACACACCTATAAAGTAATGTTTTTGACTATACCTTGTGTTACGTAAAATTAAGAGAGTTGGTGTTTTCACTGAAGCTATTTTGGAATGTTTGGGGTATCTTAGAAAACATTTTTCACAATGTGTAACTTACTTGCAGGAGCTTAGAAACTTAATTCAAGCATGATTTCTGAAAGAATTAGGCGTAGGGTTTGCCAGTAAGAAAATACTACTAGAATATAATATATAATATAATATAATACAAGCCCAGCGTAATTATCATCTGCCATGGAAGTGTTATAATCACCAACACAGAAAGCAGTTTGACGAGGTTTTTTTTTAAAACTGGGACAAAAAAATGATGGGAACACTATTGGGATAAGTGAGTATCATAACATTCCGATGCAGCATTGGAATGGCAAAAGGACAATAAAAAAGTGGATAGAATGGTTATGGATTATGCTTTGAATAACATAAATCTCCATGAGAATCTGTAAGAAAACATGAAAAATGTTGTACAAACTGGCAGGATCCCCAAAACAGAAGATGAATTTTAGTTCAGGGACTATAGCCTCTTAGGCAATTGTATTCTTCCAAAGTTAGCCCTGCTCAATATTTTTCTGCTCAATCAAAAACATTTTAGTTATTCAACAAAGTATTTATTCTCATGATGTAAGAAAATAATGAATAAAAAGAAATGAAAAAGAAATTAAACATCTGTTTGTTCCTATACTACTTTTTCTAACATAATCCTGGGTGTACCACTCAAAGAGTCAGATTCTTCAACCCAGAAAAAGTTGCAAAAGAGTACAAATTAAATGAAGATTTCCTCATCCACTGGAAAGTAAAATGCTGAACTTCAGTTCCTACTTACTTTCAAACAGCATTCAGCTATCCACAATTCTTTAAGAAACGGACAGTTCTCTAAATCAGAAATCCACTGGATGTGCTGCCTAACCAGAGTTAGTTTTGTTAAACTGGGGAAATGAGACAGGCCTACTATTCTGGGGTAGCCTGAGAAAAACATCTCCAAGCTTTGGGTTGAAGGTCCTTCTTGCTCAAGTCTTTCACAAGCCAATCCATTTCTTGTACACTGGAAGAAACAGTTAAAGATTATTAATATTTTTTTCTTTATGATTGAAAGATAAAACTATAAGTAAACTATAAATAAAGCTTTGTATTATGACAAATAAGTATCCAGAAGAACTCCATATGTATTTATTTTGGTCTAATACTAATTCCAGGGACCCCTTATATTTCCTATTTCACTGGCTGACATTTTTAAAAATTGAATTTTACACTGCAATTTACCAACTGGAGATCTGGTCTACGTCCCTTTGGGTTGTCAAGATTTCAAGGACCACATGCATCTCAATGATTTTCACCTTAGCTGAGAAAATTCCATTTATAACATACAAGGCTCTGCCATCTACTGTGAGTGGTGAATAAGAATAAAAATACCATAGCATTATCAAAAATAATTAATTGTAAAAAAGGCAATATTGAGAAAACACCATGTTACCTCATTAACATTTTAAGAAGAAAATCTATAAAATTGCATGTATTAATGATAACTTGATTGTTAGTAAGAAATAATCACAATTTTCAAAACATGTTGACATCACATGCTGATCAATCATTATTTTAACAGTTTATAGAATTAACCACATTTAGCATGTCATGCATACACAGTTAGAGGATACCTGTTCATTAGAAATAGTGTAATGCCATCATGAAATGAATATGACGATTATAGTGGCTCAAGATCAGTGGAGAACTCATTTGTATCCCTGCTCCTCACAATGACACACAGATCCTTAGAAGGAAGAATAAAAGTACATAGACCACCACAGTCTCCCAGTAACTTCTATTAAAAGACTTCAACTGGTGAACTGGAAGCATTTATATAGTTCTTATAAAAATATCAACTGATAAGGCTATCATATTTGCATATAACAATGAAAAGTATTAAGATTTCTTGATTCTATATTCCTAAAATTTGTTTAGATTATGCAGTAACAAGGAACATTCCTTGCAAATACATGATTGCACACTACAATACTGATAATCAAAACATATGATTGATTGACAGAATCAATTTAATATTGTAAAAGCTGCCAGATTAACCTACTAAATTAATAAGGTTGCAAATTATCCTATTAAATAAAGAACAGTAAAAGAGATAGAGCAGTATACATAGCAATAACGACAAGAGCTAACTTGCTTCCTCCGTACTGCCAATAAAGCCTGCATGAGATATGTACTTAAAAGTTTGTCCGTGTACAACACTGAGAAATAAATATTTAATAACCTTACACAAATTCCAAACAATGAATTGAGGTGTTATAAGGGGGTGACAAATACGATATTTTTAAAGCCCAGTTGTAAGATCAGAGGGGTAATTATTGTTTATCATTCTGTTTGATAGCTCTTATAGAATTACTAAATATTTAAACTGTGTTAAACTGGATATCTTCGAGGGCCTGATCAGCATTGTAGTCCTCGTCTGCGGGCCAGGGGGGGTATGGCGGCAAGGCTCGGGGAGGACAGATACCTCCTGCAGCACCCTGCCAGCCAAAATGGGACATGGGGGATCTGCACATGGTCCCCCTGTGCCTTATTTTCACCTTCCATGGCCTCTCTTGCAGCACTTGTTTTCTACACTTTTTTCAGCCCATGTTTTTAACTGTTTTGGTCCCGTTCTTCAGCCGTTTGGGGCCCATTTTTTCAGCCCATTTTCCAGTCTGGTTTTGTGCCATTTTCGGCCTGTTTTTCAGATCATTTTGGCCTGTTTTTCGGGCCATTTTTGGCGTTTTTTGGCACAGTTTCGGCCAGCAGAGTGCTGCAGGAAGCCATGGAGGGTGAAAAAGAGGTGTAGGGGGCACATGTGGTCCATTTTAGCCACCAGAGGCACTGTGGGCCAGTCTTTGAACATTTTCAGGCCAGCCTCATTGGCTGGATTTAAGCACCCCTGATTTAGACTATCAAGGAGGTTTTTAAAAACAAACCAAAACTTACCAACTCTTTAATTATCTCATCAGAAGCAATCTGGTTTTGAGAATCACTCTGTATCATTTTCTGAGCATTTCAGCTTAAAAGACATAGTTCATACCTAGAGATAAGAATAAAAATGCAATATCTTGCTAAGAAATTAATTGTGAAACCAGGACTCAGCTGTTAATTGATGATAAGAGAGGACACATATGTTAAAAGATAAACTTTAAGATATCTAGATCCCAATCTTCAAAGCATTTCAGAAATGTAGAGCAGTGTTCCCCAATGTTGGCAACTTTCAGATATACTTCAACTCCCAGAATTTTCAGCAGTTGCAATAGTTGTTGAAGAATTCCATGTATTGAAGGCCAGGAAGTTGCTGAGGTTGGAAAATACTGGTCGAGAGACAATTTTAAAAGCAAGAAATGTTTAGCAAGCCAGAACAAACAAGAGTAGTTTGCTGTGATCAGCCAACTCCCACTAAGTTTTCTTAAGTTTCCTTATATGGAAGCTCTGAAATACAGTCTACTCCAGGGATTTCCAAAACCTTTTGGATGAGCAGGCACTTCAGACTCTTAAGATATTATCACAGGGCTCTCAGCAAGTGGTTACCATAATAAGTATACCTATTTACAAAATATTTGCCAAACTCAGCGATGGTTATCACAAAATATATTATTAAAAGTTGATTGTAATAGTAAATATATTGTAGTATACTTTAGTATACTAGTATATTTAGTATATTTAGTATACTAGTATACTTGTAAAAATATCATAGAAACAAAACTTAAAGAAAAAATACCTATAGTACCAGCTTCACACCTCCATCCCACTCATTCAGGCAGGGAAGATATGGTGCAGACCCTATCAGTCAAAAGAATTTCAACTGGTGGAGTGTAGGAAGGCAGCCTTCTCTGCCACTGCCCCAGCATTATGGAACATCCTGTGTTCAAAGTGAGGAAATCTTGCAATCTCTTGGCTTTCCACAAAGGTATCAAAACTATCCCAGAAGTCACTACAATGCACTATAACTGCATACAGATCTATCCAAAAGTGTATGTGTGTTGCAAATAATCCAAAACCCTCATAAGATTTTAGCACCCAAGTTCTAGATTCTTTTTAATAACTGCCTCTAAGAGAGTCATCTTTTCATTGTTTCCACTGATAATTAGGATGTTATGTACTAATGTGAGAAAAGAAGTAGACTCTGATTAATTGTTGTATTTTTACTACTTCTGAATGGGTTGCTCAAAACTGGATAGGCTTGAAAGAAACTTACAGCACACATACATTTATACTGCACTGATTATAAAGTATGAAATTCCTTATTAGCATGTATTTACAAAACAAAACACCAATTTTAGATTCATGACTCAGTTATCTTCTATAAAATAGACAACAGGCTCCATTGTTTGCTGTTGTAAAACTTAAAAGTTAATTGGGGCGAAAGTTGTACCCATAAAATGCTAAATGTTATTGTTGTGACTAGCAACAATATTTGTAGGATATAAGAGACATGTTAAAATTATAATTTTCCAAAAGACCCTTAATCAGAACAGTATTCTATATATAGAGAATGATTCCAGACACATTCCCCACAAAAGAGGGATACCCAACAAACAATGGAAGTGTTAGGTGAATGCAACAAAATAAATCCCAAACCTATTTCAACAAAACAAAAATGCTGCATTCAAATAGCATATTAAGCACAAATAGCTATTAGTTCAATATGATAGATAGCATGGTTCATGTAACATAATATGCTACAGGGATGTAATTAAACCACTACTTGCGCCCTTAAACCACAAACTATCCACATCCAATTTCTGCAAACCCAGATGCTGGGCCAGTTTGAACTATTATTTCCCAGTATATGAGGAGGATAAAAGGATAGAGTGCATGTGCGTGCGTGTATATGTATGTAACACAAACATGAACGTGGTTTCATTAAATATCACAGGAAATACAAGGTATTTCTCTATGCTAACAATATGGGATTCAAACATAAAAGAGCACCTAAAGCAAGCTAAATAACCCGCCTCAAGTAATTTCAATTAAGCTCTCAAAGGAGAATGCCGTTGAAGTAAAGGTTGAAGAAGAATTCCGGAAGAATTCATGGAGGTAGGAAGGTGCTTTTCTTTAGTGGGGGGCGCAAAAGGAGGCACGTTCCCAGCCCTCCAATTATTACAGAATAACTGCATAGCCTGGGATGATGGGAATCCTCCTAGCCCAACCCATTCGAAGTGCACCTGTTCGGGAAAGGCGATGAAGCAGGGACGATTCCAGTGCTAGGCAAGTACCCCTAAATCGTCCTTCTCCAGCGGCCATCACTCACCTGCCTGGAGCCGAAGTTGCTGCCCGAGTAAATCCAGGCTGTGTACAACAGAGGCCTCTCCTGTCGCTAAGCAACCACATTTTCTCGCTCATTGCCAAGCCCCAGCCAACCAGCGCGATAGCACGTGACCTGGCTCCACTGTGAGATGATTATCTCCCCCCCTCCCCTCCCACGGGGAGCTTTCGTAGAGTTGCAAGCAGGTCCCTGTTGGGATGTCTTCGGTCCGCGCAGGCCGAATGTTATGACGCGCTTTTTTTGGGGGGGGGGGGAGGTCTTTTTTATTTTTATGGTCTTAAGGATGGTTTGTTGCTCGTTACTGTATTGAGGCAAACTTGTTGCGATTAATGCCAAGCACCGCGGTTTCATGGAATACAGTACGGCTGGGCTTCAGGCAAGGGGCTTAACATGGCTGCAGCATTTGCACTGTGTTTCTCGACTCTTGACGAATGTATCTTTTCTTTTATGATACTGAAGAGTATTTACACCAAGACGAATTCCTTGTGTGTCCAATCATCCTTGGCCAATAAAGTATTCTATTCTATTCTAGGGAAGAAAAAAAATTTCAGTTGGCTTCAGAGAGGCTGTAATTAATTAAATGTAAACGTCAGGGTCCTTCTCTTTCCTAAGAGGTCTGTAAGGGGCGTGCATAAGTGCACCAACGTGCCTACCGTCCCTGTCCTATTGTTTTATTTATTTTTTCTTATATGTATCCATGTATTCATAACTATGTTTTTACTTATACCTATTATCTTGTAAGCAATTGACAAACCAAATAAATAAATAAATAAATAAAATAGTGCACACATTCTTCGCATTTTACTTACTTCAATCAGATTTACTTTGGAGTAAGCATAGATTTAATTGCACCTGACATCAGTTTGTGTTGACTGGATTTAATTCTAATACAAAAGGCAGATAACCCACGCTTGAAGGTGGCATCTTGCCTGCCTTTATGAAACAAAATGTAACCTTTTCTGATAAAATAAATGCTATCCATAATAGTTAATAAGAGTCAAATTTTACAAATCTGCTATTGTAAATGTAGTAAAACTTACATTTAAATATGCTTATATATAAAAATAATGGTGTACAGGTAGTCCTCAACAAAAGTTTGCTTAGTGATTGTTCAGTGATAATGGCACTGAAAAAAGTGACTTATGACATTTTTCACATGACCATTGTAGCATCCCCATGATCAAAATTCAGCCGCTTGGCAACTGATTCATATTTGTGATGGTTGCAGTGTCCTGGAGTCATGTGATTACCTTTTTCAATCTTCTGACCAGCATAGTCAATGGGTTTCACTTAACAACCATGTTACTAACTTAACAACTGCAGTGATTCACTTAAGTGTGGCAAGAAAAGTCATAAAATGGAACAAAACTCCACCAATTTTTCACTTAGCAACATAAATTTGGGGCTCAATTGTGGTCATAAGTTGAGTATTACCTATAATTACTGTGATGTAGGAAAGGAATAGGAAGGCGACTAAACATTTACAAAGTGGGGGTAGCATGTTAAATGTATAGTGCTAGAAACGGGATGAGTAGTTAGCATTCTAGAACTTTGTAACATTCTCTGATTTGCTTAGTTTCATGCTTAAAATAAATAAAATAATTTTCGCTACAGCTGTAAAAACTAGTCTCAATTATTGAGATTTTGCCTTAGCTTCCAGTATTTGGAAGTTTAATTTGTCTTTTGTCTCTTGGTGTATACCAGGTGATACATATTCAAGATGATGCCATCATTTCAGACTCTTAGCAACCACATATTCAAGATAAAGTAATATGAAATTTGTCATTGTGAGTCACACTTAGTAATTGTGAACTCAGTGCTTAAATTGATTTACAGGGCTTTTTGAATGGATCAACTCATTGTATTTCAGCAAGATTATGAATATAGTTGTCTTTTAGAGCAGGGGCCCCCAACCACCGGGCCGCGGACCGGTACCGGTCCGTGGAACATTTCCTACCGGGCCGCCGGTTTGCTGGGCGCCACCATCTTGTTTGACGAGAAAGTGCTTCCGGGTGAGCTTTTCCGGTTGGAAAGCGGCATTTGGGTCCTGAAGGAATCCTCGCGCCTTAGTTTCATCGAAGGGGGGGGGGGCTTCGAATGAAACTAAGGTGCGAGGATTCTTTCAGCACCCAAGGCAAGGCGAGCCGAGCGACCGTCCCGAAGCCGTCCCGAAGCGAAGCCCATCGACAAAGGTACAAAGGAGGAGTTGAAAGTGGCGGGGAGAAGCGGGGGACGGCTGGCTGGCCGGTCGCTCGGCTCGCCTTGCCTTGTCATGCGTGCTGATGCCGGTACCGGGCCGTGGATCATTTTGTGATGCCGGTACCGGGCCGTGGCAGAAAAAAGGTTGGGGGCCACTGTTTTAGAGGACATTTAAGAGAAAGTATCATTTACCATGGTTGCTTGTTGCATATGTTGCATTCATTACATTGAACTTGCAAATCTGTAAATAAAGATATCAAAAAGACACTGACTGGACATATAGTAAAGCAAGATTTAATTGTTGTTTATTGAAGGCACAATCACTATTCATGCTAAGCCATAAACTATGATTTACAACCTATTCCAACCAGGTTGTGAACCTATCCCAATTATGACTGGGAAAATCCAGGCTCAGTTCCTCACTTAGCCATGAAGCTCACTTTGAAGCAATCACTGTTTCATATAACATATTCTAGGAATTGTGATGATACCGAAGAATTGGTAAATGATGCTAAAAGAGAAGCATATACCACCCCAAATTCTTTTAAGATAATTATGTGCACTAAAATGGGAACTAAAAGAAAGCATAGTAGTCCAGAGTGACAGGTTCTGAGATCTCAAAAATCCCAATTACCAATTCCATTTGTACAATTCTGCCTGAGCAAAATTATTTGCCCATCCAAGCTACAAAAACTCTTTGAGGTATGTGAAGTGTCACTTCTATGCCACCAGATGTCACTTTTTTACATGTGTCTCCCATCCATATACTGTAAAATACATTTTCTAGCAAATTCTTGTGGTTTCTTATCAATAAAGCCTTAGTTTATAATGCTTCTACAGGTTATTCACGTTTATATTCTGTATTTACTATGTATCAGCCAGCCATTTAGGAAGGTCTTTCATGGATGCTATGAATCAAAGACACTTCAGCATTAGATTTCTCTGCTGCTCTAGGGATTTCTCTACTCTTTGTGATATCACACTGTTCCTCTGTTTAGTGGCCGAGTTGGTTTTGAATAAAAGATAATTTTAATATATACAGTACTGAAGCTCTGCAAAACATGAGAATGTGTTCCAAGCTGCCTTCTGATTCCTTGTCTCCTTTGCATAGCTTCAGCTGCTTTATAATTATTATTAGAAGCAAACACTCGTGTTGGGGAGGGGGAATTAGCAGGCAAAATACATACAACATGAATGAATGAACAAGGAGGCATTCTCTGAATGCCATCCTGTTCTTCTATTGGACTACTGAAATGAATAACTGATTGGCTGTGAACTTAACTTTTCAAGATCAACAGAAATGATATAATGGACTTCTCAGAGCCTAGGAAACAGGATGGGAATTCATAAAAGGTTACACGTACAAAACAACTGCACATTCGCTTTGTCGAGAAAACAAGTGACTACCTCCCCAGTGAATTAGTACTTAGTTAGTAAGAGGATCGAGAATTCTCAGCCTAATGAATTTATAATTAACTTGTGACTTTCTGTGAGAGCAAATGTTGAGGTACCCTAAACAGTGCACTAGAATTTTATGCCTGGATTTTGGGCACCTCCATGCAAAATTAAAATTGGATTTCTTACTTAATCATAGCCTTGCTTGTTCCAAAGAGAGCCTTTAATTTCACCTTGAGCCTTTCCAGTACAGCTTTGATAATAGAGGCTGAAACTTAGTATATTCTGTATCCTGATGAGCTGCCCTCTATCTAGCTGCTGATTGGCATTACGGTTGATTATTCTTCCTCTGAAGTTTACTTTTAAGTTTTTTTAAAAATTCTTTTGCAGGATTGGTATTCTGAGTCACTTTACCTCCGCTGAGAACTGACCCTAGAAATCTGTAAGTGATTGATTCTTTTTTTGAGTCTGGAAAAGTCTCAGGAAAATAAAACCTACAGCAGGTCCTCTCTTGTTTTTTTGTTTTCTCTGTCTAAAACAGATGCCTCCAATATATTCTTCCCTTTTCATTTATTTCAAGGAAAGCATCTCTCCTATTGGAGAGCATCAGAATGGAGGTCAAGGACACCAACTAAAGGTTATCCACAGTGGATATACTACTGTTCCATAGTGTGAACTTGTAGACATATACATGATTTTCAGTTCCATGTAGCAGACATTACGATAACTCCAGTCTCTGCTATAGCTTTTTGCTGGCTCTTTATGGCTCTATATTTTGAGGCACCCCCTCAAAAAACCAGGCTGTCACAGGAGGATAATGGACTGCACAAGGGCTGGGTCATATCAAATGGTATGTTGACATTGGAAGTAGAGTTTTAAATTGTGAGAGAGAAGTCTGGGAAGAAAAAGATTGAAGAAAAAAATGAGAGGATTAGAAATGGAGCTGAAGGTTTGCAGCTATAATGGCTGAAATGAACAGACAGCAATTGATGATTGAAGTTGAATTTGTTTTAGTAAAACCCCATAATGGGCTGGTAAACCTGAGCTGCATTAGTAAAGAGACAGATGGAAGATTGCCAAAAATAATTGTTTGGACACTACCCTAAGAAGTCTGGCGAAGAGGAGGAGACATCACAGGACCTTCATAGGGCAGAAATCTCTTGGTGGAGCTGAAGAGAAAAAGATAAAAGGTATACCTGCCAGAGTGAAAAGTCAGCAAATATTGAGCTATCAATATGATTGATGATGGCCAGTATAACCATAAGCCCTTTCTTAACTCAGTTCAATAGTTTTAATATTTAACAATATGGACAGGTACAAACATGCGAGGCATACATATACATTGCCATGGCTTGCTATGAGATTGATATTGTAAGTGACTTTGAACAGAGGAAAAAACTGAAATATTCGTACAGCAGGCACAATGAAAGAAGGGGAGAATGTAAAACCATCAGGTAAGCCAGGAAAATTAAACTGC